AATTTGATATCCGCAAAACCAGCTTGGCGATTTGTGAAATGCGAACTTTCATTTGTTTTAAATAGCATTTGCGTCTTAGTGCTCATCCCTTTCGACCCTGATGTCAAAATACTCAAACACCAATCAATTTTAGGTTGCGCTTAAGTATACTGTATAGTTCTGTCACTACCAGTTCTTTGTAAAATGACAGAGATGGCACGATATTTAAGTGCTACTTAAAATTAAGTATATTTGCAATGTTTGGGCGTAATTCTCTTATAGCCCAGTGCAATTAATAGCTATACAAGCGGTAAAAATGCAAGAATACAGTAGTAGAATGAATCCCACTGAATAGGGAAAATAATTTAGAGGTCGGAAAATGCGCGAAAAAACATGTAATTATTAGTTTTAACGAATTTTTAAATTATATTTTAACGAATGAGCGAGCATCATTCGAAGAGCGATATACCCACTTAAAACTTGTAAAAACATTGAGCTTTCAGAGACACTATCCTAGATAGGGCTGCTAGACATTGACTTCTATTCGGTGCTTCGATCCCTAAACTGGACTTAAAATTGAATCCTACTTGAAAGTTTCCGAACCTGGTAAAAGTGAATTGAATTATGACCACCATAATCTTTATTTTCTACTTATAAATACTGCAGCACAGGCATCATCGAAATCGACGGTTAAACGTTTGTTACTACTGGCACTATTTAATGTACAATGGAATAAACATTACTTTTAACTATGCACCTAAATGTTACAAATAATATTAAAATAATATCAGGTAGACCAAAAACACTTTTACTAACTATAGCCATGTATGGTGCCCCCATATGGGCGGCAGATCTGGCGGCTTCGGAAAACGGCAAAAGACGATGGCCGTCGAGAGTCATCCGGAGTTATTGCACGACCTCAAGCGAGGTGGCTTGTGTACTGGCGGTTTCCCCGCCCTGCAACCTCGAAGGAAAAGTACTCGCTTCGTTACATCGGTGGTGGATTGGCGGGTGACGGTTTTTTTTTAAGGGGGGAAAATCATCAAATGACTGCTCCCGCCTGGGTGAGGCGGGAGGGAGTGTCAGACTCTTACTGACTAAAAACCACCCCGTTCCTTCTTCTGCACGTCGAGTCGGAGCCCCGGTTATCCGTTAGGTTCTCCGCGACTCCGAATCTGCATCGGCCGTATTGGGCCCCATCTGTGGTGGTCTGATGGCTCTTTGAGGCGTGCGCGGAACGCGACGCGCCGTACGCTCGGGTCAGTTTCTGGTCGGACGGGGAGCTACCCATGCTCGCCGTCCGCAGGCCCGCGCTTACGGTGGCCGGAGATCGTCCCGCGATCACCGACGCCCGGTGTGTCCTTTACGATGGCTGGGTTGCGAGGAGGCAGCGCTTCGCTGCCTCACGCGTCCCGCCTCCTCCTTAGCTAGCATGACTGCTTCGCAAAAGGAGGAGACGGCATCCCAGTCCCCCTCGCTCCGCATCATGGCCTGCACTAGACCCGGACGCGAGAGGTCGCCATCGACGATCACTTCCCTGAGGGCACGGCGGTGCTCAGCCCACGCAGGGCATTCTCCCACTGTGTGTTCCACCGTGTCCTCAGGGCGGTCCTCGCAGTGATGACACCCGGGCGTTTCCTCCCGCCCCATCAGACACAGGTACCTCCCGAAACTTACATGTCCGGTGAGGACCTGCGCCAGGCGGTAGGTGAGGACGCCGTAGCTAGCTACCCTTAACACCGTCGAGGCGATGCGGCCAGGACGACGATTGGCTCGGAAAAAGGCACGTCTCTTTTCCGTTCCGTGTGGCGTAGGTGCTCTCGGGTCATGGGTATTTGGGGAAGTTCCTGTGTTGCATAGGCAGGGAGCCAGACGCTCGGTACCATCACAGCATCCATTGCGAGGAGGATCTGGAGCGCTTAGAATAAACCGCATCGTGTCCTCATATTAAAGATCGGTGACCTGTCACTGCCGACTTTTGTAGAAAATCGTTGGCGGTGCAGAGTCATGGGATGCTGTGGTGTCCTTCTGTGCCTGTCGCGGACGAAGGCTGCTGAGCGGGAAAGAGAAATCACGACTTCTCTGTCTGCGCAGCAAGCGCACCGAGAGTCGAAGAAAAGCAAAAATTGCTCTGTTTCTCATATCAGCACCTACCGCTTCAGGGAATAAATAGTGTGAAGTTATGTAGCTAAACATTAATTTTGTTAATGCTAATAGTTTAGTGTAGTTTCATTATAAAGTATTTCAAAGTGTCCCGTGATAAATTCAAATATATGTATTAAACCTATATAGTTCTCGATTTCGATTTGTGCAATATTTATTCACCAAAGTCTTGCGATCAATTACATAAACGTCAACTACACAACCCTCACCATTTTCACACTGAATATCGTCAAAATTTACTGCAAATTGCGGTGTTCTGATTCTGATCTGACATCAGGCATCAATCCCATAGTAATTGTGTTGCATAAGTATTGTTAGATATTTCTGATATCAAAATATTGGTCTGGAAATAAAATGCGTGATGTCTTGTATTTTGTATAGAGTATAAACAATTTTTATAAGGATGCGAATGGAAACTATTAGTGGAGTAGGTTGATTAATCATGCCCTACTTTTAGGTACAAGTGGCATCTAAATAGTGCAGGGGCCTAGCTAGATATTTGCTTCACAGCGTGCACAATCGCAGGCCATATACCCATGATACCCATATGAATTTCTAAATCGAAAACTTAATACCTACTCTTCACTATATGACTATAGAAATGGAATCAATGAGAAAGTTCTTTTAAATTATGTTTCCTTGTCCTGTGTGCTTGTTTCGTGGTATGTACATGGAAAAGCTCGTAACTGAATCACATCTGATTTATAACGTTCAATAATGCGAAAGTATATTACAAAAATGTATGACAGTCCGATGATTATGTAGATTAGGTACAAAAGTATTGGAAAGTTTCAATCGTTGGCAACAAGGGCAAAGGGTAGGATAGTTTTCACCAAAGGTTCATATAGGTTTAGTGCATGTTTTTATTCCATGATTTTCTATAAGTACGTCCTAGATATACATAAATAGTGTTTTTCATCGTTCACCATTAGCGTTACTCTCATCACTGTTTAATCGAACGACGCGATGAACATCTAACTGTTGGACGCAGACTCCGACAAATAACTAAACTACATATAGATCAGCTCTGCAAACCATAACCATACAGAGTAAGACGAATCATCTAAAACTACAACAGAGGTAAGGTATGTCTTTGTAAGTTGGTAAGTATTTAGGGTAGGACACCTGCCTACTAAACTGGCTTAAAATTATTTCTGGATATCAATAAATGATTAATTGCTTTGTTTTAATTATATACCTGAACTGAAAACCTGTTCACTCAGGTTATAAAATCAGACGTTAAACTACATCTTTCTACACAATCTTAATATTCGAGATCAAACATTCGAGTTTTCAATTATTACTCGGTTAGATGTTTGGCGATTCTCGCAAGCACCTCACTAGTCCGAACATTTTTGGAGTAGCAACCCTGCCACCCTAAAATATTATCGCTCCCCTGCCATACTGTGACGTCTCTTTCACACACAAGCAGAATTATATACGATATTTTAGTTTCTAGTCCATTACTGCTGTAGACCTTGTACAAACGCGCGCCGTCGTCGCGTTGTTAATATGAGCTGCAATGGACGTCGTTTGGTCCATTTTGTCGCCAACTTGACACTGTACACATTACGGGGGTAACTAGGGGCGCTAGGGAACGCCCCGAAATTTTTAGCAGTGGTTGTAGATACTGTCTCTTTCTTTCGCTGTTTCGTGATACACTTAATAAAAACGTTCATTGGTGGCATATCGCATCAGACGATTTTGCGACATTGAATACTACACATATTAGTAAAGGCGTTTAAATAAGTTAAATCATATTTTCGATTCTATAAATTCCGTGAAAATCATAGAAGTTAACATGAAAGTGTCACGTTGACGCATATTTGAGTGCGAGTGTAAAGCGATGTAGCATGTAGCGCGCCGTTTGCTTATCGATTTTCTCTATGCTGCATTAAATTACTATTTAAATTGTGAATGCGGACTGCATTGAATAATATTTTAATATGCGTTGTGCCTATATAACTAATAAAAATATCTCGAAATTGGTGCAGTGATTAATATTGTTGTGGTGAAAGCTGGCGTAACTTATAAGTTATCATAACAACACCGACAGAACGCGGTTGTCTTACATGCATTAATACATCGAACTGACACCTCGTGTCGGCGTATTACGAGATGGTACTTTAATTCAGTATAAATTGCCTTATGCCGATGATTGTGTCTCCATTGTTTTGGGAATGGTTCAACATTTGGCTTATTCAATTTCTAAAAGATTTATATCATGAAATTAAAATGGTTGCACTAAGAGGAACAAATAGTTCTCTAAATACATTGTCACATGCGTGTGTTAACCATGGAAATCAGTCACAACAGAGTGCGATTGATGTGGCGCAAAGTTTACAAACATCATTGAATATGCCACAATCGGCAGTAGCACAGCACATCAATGCGAATCAAATCAATTTGCAACCCTTGAATAATGTTTCACTGCAGTTTGTACCGCAGCATACTAACTCAAACTCTAACAAACATGAACAATCGTCTTCTCGGTATTCCAACTCTAATTGCATGCTGCCTTCGCATCATTACCGACTGTTAACTCAAACTAGTAAGTGAATACTAACAACGCTTGTACTTAACATAAAAGTGCACTGTGTTTAATCGGGTATTTTAACTGAAATATTTATGCCAAGTAATTTTTTCCATTTCTTGACGAAATTTTATTGTTTAGTTAATCTCTAGTATCGACTTATTTATGAGCTATTGAGCTATTGTTTCGTTGGCAATCATAACTTTTTACTTCACTACGCTTTTTAAAAAAGATTCAGTCTTTCGCATATAGTAAGTATGTATAACAGCAATGGAGTTATGAAATAAATCAGAAATAATTACAATAATTCCTTAGCGCTGTACAGTTATCCACGGGCGTCAACACCACACAGTGAGTTAGACAGAAACAGGAAAAAACAAAAAAAAAATCGTTAAATAATCAACAATAAAATTTGAATCATTGAATATTTAATTTTAAACATATATGATATTTACAGGACCGGTGGAATGTTACCACCCATCAGGCGCCGCCGGAGCCGGTTATATGCCGAGCTCATCCGGTGGCGCGCAGCCCTCGGCGCAGGCTTCGCTGAGAGTCCAGCCGACACCGCAGCCATCGGCACCGCCGGCACCACAACAGGACATGTCCAAAACAACCATGGTAAATATAAGTCCCTTATACCAACTGCTTAGATCGGGATAGATCGGTATTTTATTATTTTAGTACATCATAATCAAAATCAGTTACAAATGTGAAAGTAATAGTGAAAGATGCAGTCTTATTCATCTAACAGACGACCCCCCTGACAGTGGAGCGCTTTGATAGGCTACGCTTTATTTATCTACTTATGTCAAAAGTGGTTAATGCACTACACTTTACGGAAATCAATTCGCGTAACGTGCGCCTCTTGATCACGTTACGTTGGGAGAACAACCTAACTACCGCTGACCTAGTGTGTGCATCTACTAATACTTAGGTAGTTCTGTTACACAGATTCAATATTTTATGCATATATGTGATGCAGATAAGTATACTTTCTAATGTTTCTTTAAATTTTTTCAGGCTGGCCATAGTTACGTTACTCAGAACCAAACACCGCCAACTCGACCGCAGTTTACCAACTACCCGTATAGAACAGCGCAGCATGGCACGAGGCCCAACACCCATCCAAGGTACTTAACTTTTTACTATATTTTAGACAAGTTGTTCCATATTAAGCTAACCATATTTATATGTATTCTTTGGTATATTCGTTGATTTTTTGATCGTTGATATCAAACACAATTGGCCGCAATTAACCGAAGGCAGGCGTTGTTATTGTAGCGGTAAGTCCCCTCCTTGATAAGTAGGTAGAGAGCTGAGTGGCTGACCACGGCCGTGTCCTCAGGGAAGAAATTTTAGTGTAAACCGCTTTCAGCTTCGAATCAGGCCATGTTGCGGAACCGAGGTGGGAGGAGGCGGAGTGCGTGAACGGTCTTCCTCACGACCTGGGAGGTCAATACGCGTGTCGGGGGTCGTGCGACGAATTCTCTCTATAATTTAATAAACTTCAAACTTATAGTGCAAATAATAAATACTTAGTTACTATATTTGGTTACGTTAGACATTCTGTTCTTATTTAATTATTTTTGTATTTAAGTATTTTCTCATGAACTTATGAATGTGGACTTATCGGTAGTGCTATAGACGGGCGTTCAACTAAACTTTAGTTGAACGCGATAGTATCTCCGCAGTTACTGGTTCATATTGGAAAAATCTTTTTGTCTTGGATAATCCATTTATTGAGTAAGGTCATGCTATACCACAATTGGGACTAGGCCGAGAAAATGTTTTGGAAGCATGTCCCATGGTTAAATCAGTCATAAATGGTCTTGGTCTAGGCCCGATAGATTTAAATTTGTTTTTTTTTATTTGAATAAATAATGAATTATATACATATATAAAGAGATACATTTACATTCACACGTAGTTTGTTATAAAATATTGTAATAAACGGTAATTGACTCTATAGAGCTTCTTAAGTAAATAGTGTTATTTCTAATATCTTGATCGTATTTACTATAATTAATAGTTGTTAGTATAATTAAATATTTCACGATAGGCACAATAGTTGACAACGGAGACCTTTGCTTGAATTAGTATATTCACATGGACCACTTTTCACTGTATAGTGAATCATATGGTGTACAAAATTATAGTACAGCGAAATACTAGTTTGAATATGTTTTGTAATAAAAAAATGATATTTGTTTGAACAGGCAACAACAGCCCTACATCCCTAACGCTGCCACTGCATCACCGCCTGTTATGTATCCAACGTTAGTATTTCAACCTACGCCGATGGGGATGCAAACTTTCCAGCCGCCTAGATCGAGTACTCCGGGGTAAGTGGTCATAAGTTTTATATTTCATATCACCATAAATTACAAATACAATGGATGCAGGTCGCTTCCAACCAGCCGATCTGTAAAGTCATTAGGGAAGGTTTATTTTATCCGTTAAAATGGTGAATATAAGTGTAGCGGATTCAATTCCCGCACGGAACAACTCTTTTTGTGATCCACAGTTTGGGGTTTCGAGTCTGGGTGTGATGTGTATGCGAAATTATGTTTGTAAATGCACCCACAACACAGAAAAATATCCTAGTGTGGGACAAACATTTTTTTTTTTCAAAATGAAGGATATAATGTATAAAACGCCATGTTATACGATAATTTTATAAGTGTGGGAGAGCCATGCTTCGGCACGAATGGGCCGGCTCGACCGGAGTGATACCACGGCCTCACAGAAAACCGACGTGAAGCAACGCTTGCGTTGTTTTTCGTAGTGTGAGTGAGGTTACCGGAGGCCCAATTACCTTGCCCTTCCCCAATCTCCCCAATCCCTGAATCCCCAACGATCCTCAAACTCCTAATCCCCAAAAAGCCGGTGACGCACTTGTAACGCCTCTGGTGTTCCAGGTGTCCATGGGCGACGCCGATTGCTTACCATCAGGTGATCCGTCTGCTCGTTTACCGGCTTATGCCATAAAAAAATACAATTAACTTTTATTAAATAACTGTATGAATCCTGCATTCTTGCTCATAAAGGAGTTCGAAATGTATAATAACAGTTAAACATTGTTCTATCGAAAAGATTCTAGTATACTGCGTGGTAAGCAATGAATGACACTTGCAATTTGTAAGGTTAAAAAATAATTTACATCAGCCTATGCATACAATTTCGCATTGCTGAGAGTGCTGAGACAAAAGTCTCTAATAAGAAGAACGAATGAACATCAAATGTGCACCTTCATCACCATACCTACTTGCTTATTGTAAATTTACTTTAATTTATGAGTGTAGGTTTTTCAAAGAAAGCTTATGAATATAAGCATAGAAAACGTATGTAACTTGGAAAAAAACTTACCAAGATACTACGGCACCTTAACCTCTGGGCCACTACGACATGCCCTACAATGATGCTTAATGGATTTTTTCTGTTTACAGGTACTACCCGTATATGGGATATATTAACTATAATACACCACCGAGTCACACTCCTCCATGTATGTAGATCAGTTTAAATGTTTTTATTTTATGTAGTATCTTGTACACACACTGTGTACTGTTTAGTGCGTGTTTGGGATTGCAATATTATGGGTAAGGGTAAAACTACTTGGCACGAAAGAATGGCTGTAAACTAGTCATAAATTTCATTAAAAGAGTATCTTATTATAATACCATGCCATTGCTTGTTTAACATACTTTGATATTGGAATACCAGCTACTTCACTTTGTATCGCCATTTCTATCTTCAATGTATTATTTGCATGCCATTACATTTAGCTCCCTGATTTTACAGTTTTGTGATGTAATTTCATAAACTCAGAAAAATGTCATAACAAAGTAACAGATAAATATATAAATAAGTACTTATAATTAGTTTGTTTTGTTCTCAAATATAATAATAATCATATAAACTAATTTGATTTGGCTTGCTGTCTTATCATTGAGTATAGAATACTAATAATAAATAATAATAATACTGTGTTTAACGAGGACCCGCCTCGTAGATATTAAACATCGTTTATTTATTTTAGTCAATATAAAGTTTCTAAAACTTGTCTTGACGCTTTTTACTAAAATTCCGATGAGACCAGGAGCTTGAGATAGTAAATTAGTTGAGTGTTTGCATGCGAACCCTACTCTTCCCACAAACACGTACCTACATTCATATATTGATACTTTTTCATTATCCTACTATCTTTTAAGACATAATTATAAACTTTTCATACTAAATTACATAACGAGTAAATGGAGTACGAACATATTTTCTTATATTTATCTTATTTTTAAGAAATTAATACGTGTTTTTGTTTATACCCACAGATTTTTATACGTCGAACAATCCGCAGCTGCCAACGCCAAATTTACAAACCAGCGCTCCAGGTGGTAGAAGTAATCCCACTACTTTGGTGGGACCACAGGGTACACCTGCAACTCCCACTGCGCCCACTGCCACGCTTCCTCACCCACAAGCTTCTACACTCATGCACCAAACTATGCCTGGTAATCATTGACTTCTATTATTAATAACAGTTTTTTCTACGACTATGGGCTTAAGGGCGAACTGATTAAGGTTAATTTATGACTATAACACTCGCTTTTGTCGTAACGTGGTAAGCTTTCCGTCTAGCTGTATCATATGTGCCGTCTTATATAAGTGTATTGCCCCAAGAATTCTTAATTTTTCACTGCTCTAGTCTAGAAAAACACATTTAAGTTTTAACTAATTATGTCGTTTTCATTTTCGACAAAGATGATCAATTAATTGAAACATACTCGATAATGGTTACTCGTACTCTATAAAATAGTCCGTGTTTAGATTTTACACAACTTAAATTAAACAATCGGAATGTTACAGCTGAAGTTATGGTTTCAAATTTCAATTTAGGTTAACTTATTTCATTTCTACAGTATTGTATTTAACACAAACATTGATAGTTTAGAAGTAACTACAAACCTGCTTGATTAAATACCATTAAAAGAAAGAAATTTAAAACAAATCTAAGCAAGTTTTACTATCATGTCGTACTTATTCGGTAAGTAAAACTGTTGCATGGATAGAACTAAGCCTATTTGTATCGGGGGAACATTAAAACCTGCCGAATTTAATTAAAGCACCTTGTTCTTTAAAATCCGGCGACGTCGCTACTTTCGCTGAAAGTACCACTAACTGCTTTTTCATACGGTAATGCTCCTCTCACCGGGCATGGGCGTCCCCTATGATCTTTATACGTGAATGACTGTTTTATAAAACGAATATGAAAACTAATTACATGAATTCGCATCATACTCGATTTACTCACTAAAATTCACATTCACGCAAATTTAGAGTAAAAATGTTAATGTGCTATTTCAAAAAAATCATGGAACATATATTTGTTACCTACATGCCCAATTGCCCATATCTATTTTTTTTTTTGTTAAATTTTTAATCTTCCAGTCATGTTATACTATAATAATATTTTATGTTGTAATTACTTATCTATGTACGTATTTAACTCGATATATAGATAATGTAGTTAGAGTCGTCTAATATGGGTGATTCCAAATAACCTCATACAATACCTACTTCTTTTGCTTAGATAGGACATTACTATGTTTTTTAAATAACTTGAGTACTTGTGACATTTAGTCCCGAAAATATTATATACTGGCCTAGTACTTAATCTGTTACTTTCTCTTAGGTATTCGCTCTTCCGCTCCGAAAAGAAGTCATAGGGTACCAATCATAGACCCTAAAACAAGTAAGTAGGATTGGCAGTTTCACGAGTTACAGTACTTCATCAAACAACATATATCTACTAATTATCATTTTGTTTTCAGAACAAGAAATATTCTCTGATTTATATACTAACGATAGTAACTATATAAGCAACGAAGCTAACGATCGCCACACCCCTCAACCCGTAAGTATAAATCTGTGGTAGTTTTCGTTTCATTATATCGCAGTGCTATTGGTGTAAATGTAGATTCAGTTTGGAGCTGACTCTACACTCTGACAAGTATACCAGCACCTCCCAACTCGTCTATAATAGAACCCGATCAATAGGAACTTATAACCAATTAAATTAGTATTGTCCACTCCTTTGAGGATTTTCTTTTAGATGTCATGTTTACTATGAAATTTTTTATTTATGATAGTAAACAAGGGGATCAAACTCTCGTCGTCATTCCCACTTGTCAAAAGATATCATAACTATTAAGTAACAAGTAGTTCCTACATATTTTCTGATTCAATATATTTCATTTGATTGTAAAAACGTTTTTTTTTTGTACAGGAGCCAACACACAGTATCCCCGAAGAATTTAATAGAATGGTCAAGGAAGTAGCCAATCAACCTTCTTGTGATAACTCTATTAAATCGAATTATGTAACAAATAATGTGGATGTACCTGCTGCATCGACGCCAAGTTCTGTCCAAAGCCAGCCAATTGCAGTAAATTCATTAAATAATAACATTGTAAAGTCTGAAATATTAACTGTTAACGAAAATAAACATTTAGGACCTGATGTTGCCGGAGAATCGAATGATACTCCAATAGTATCAGCAATATCAGACAGTCCTGTTATAGTGCCTAAAATGCCTATGAATATTAAGCAACTACAAAAGAATAGTGAACCCTTAGTTCAACCTGTAGTTCTAGATACGAATAAGAATTTACCACCAAGTAAACCATTTAAACCAAGCAAAAATGTGCCTCAACTTGATGATTTAGAACAGCCACAAGAAAATATTATACAAGTACCAATAGCAACAGTAGCACCAATTTCGAGCTCGACAGTGATTACGTCTACTGTCACACCCGTGCCTGCTTCAACGCAAACTGCTACAGCTAGTGAACCGGCAACGCCCGTTCCTATTTCTACACCTGCGCCACAGCCGCAGAGAATAAGAGAACCCAGGGAAAGAGTCAAATCTGATGACAAAGAGAAAGTCAAAGAGCGGGAGTCGCAAGAAAAAGAGGCTGCGTCTGCGTCTAATAAGCTTAATGGCCCGACACCACCTTTAGGTAAGTGAAACTGCTTTTAACATGCATGGCCACTAGATGGAAATATAATATTTAGCCACTTCGTAAATAAGACCTAGTACTTGCGGCACTTTCATCGCCGGCTAATAATAACTTTGTTCGAGGCCAGTGCTTTTATGCGGTATTTTGTGGCCAGAACGAACATTTTCCATATAACTAGTAAAAAGGTCTTCTCGTCATATTTTGAAGTATTTAAATATTATATTATGTAATTATGTATTGATTATATAATATTGTATATTTTATGTAATAGTATTATAATGATCTAGTTTATTTTATAATTATTGTTGAGTCCTAATATGTACTAGGCCTAGTCTTCAGTCAAAATAAATTACCTACTTCAACTTTTCGATAGGTACACACAGAAACTTAAAAAATTACACTTTCAATGTTGTTGATAATAATATGTTATTAGGCTTAGTTTGATAGATGATAGCTGATTTAAAAGAAATGAGCATGTATGTTTTACTTCACACGTTAATTTGTTATCTCCATACAAAGTTCATAAAAATAACTTATTCCTAACATTTTGCAAATACTGAATTTACTAGTTAGACCTAGCTACTTACGTCCGTGCGGTTTTACCCGCTGCTCGGCTCCTATTGATCGCAGCGTGATGTTTGATATAGCCTTTCTATAATAACAAAATCGACTGCACGGTTGGCGCGGTGGCTGGGCAACTGGCTGCCGCGCAACGTGTCTCGGGTTCGATTCCCGCACGGAACAACTCTTTGTGTGATCCACAGATTGTTGTTCCGGGTCTGGGTGTCATGTGAATGTGATATTCTATGTTTGTAAACGCACCCACGACACAGGAGAAAATCCTAGTGTGGGGCAACGTTTAAAAAAAAAATAGATTTCCCCGACATGTGAACTATCCAACACACAAACAATTCAAATTAAACCAGTAGTTCCTGTGGTAGGCGCCTTCAAACGAACAAACTCTTCAGCTTTCTAATATCAGTACAGACGATCTATCCTCATTGTTTAGTGTTTACTAAAGATGACTCTTGACATTTTCAACTACTGTAACCACAATATTTCAAATATTTCTGATTTATTTTTTGTATTAAAAACTGGACAGTGCTGCTATCTATTCCAATCACTAAAAATCTGAGAATAAAGGTACTTTTTCACAAATAGCAGTCAACAATTGAATTGAATTTGACTTTCAACAAGTGCAGGCCGCATAGCTCGCCTTGGCAGCATCAACGACACCATTCGTCGTGCTCTTGCCTCAGTCGGTGTCCCAGCCGTATAAGAACCTAATGGTTTGGTACGTGATGACGGCAAGAGACCAGATGGTATGTCGTTGCTGCCTTGGAAGATGGGTAGGCCTTTAGTGTGGGACGCGACGTGTGTAGAAACCGTTGCGCCATCACATCTTCTAAGTACCGCCCCCAAACGGCGTAAATATTCAAATCTAGTGGGTAACTACTGTTTTGAGCCGTTTGTGGTCGAAACACTTGGGCCCATGGGGTCACATTACACACTCGTATCTATAAAGATACAGCTCGTAGGCTAATGACTCTACACGTGACCAGAGGGCTGGCTAATTCTTCGGACATAAAATAAGCATCGCCATTTATCGTTGCAATGCTGCCAGTCTTCTGGGAACTTTCCCCCAGTGATAGTAATACAGACAAAAAGGTCTAATAAACTTTACGGGTTCAAGGCAGGCGAATGCTGTGGCTATAAAATAATCGACCAATCCAACAACTTGGATATGTTTCGTTCAAGTATGCTCGTACTGGATGTACATATTGAACTGCGGAAAAAATCATTATATTGACACTAAATATTTTGTAAGGCCCTTATGTTGTGAGAACATCTTCCAATAACTTGAAATATTTGAAAAAATGTGCTCACAGTAGTTAATTTTAGGTCGTCACACACTTTGCGTTAATATATCTATATAAAATGAAGTCGATCTAGTTAAACTATTTATAATTCGAGAACTGCTAAATCGATTTGGCTGAAAAATGATGGGGAGGCAGCTTAGGACCACGTCGGTCTGGATATAGGATATTTGTTGTCTAAGGAATTCCCGAAATTCCGAAATTGCAGGCAGAATCTAGTATTAATATATTTATTGGGGGTGGAATTGATTGGTGTGCGTTGATAGATCACTAAGTCAGTCAGTCACCTTTGAGTAATATATTATATATTTAGATATGTCAACGACCTCTGAAATTGATCCATCGGTTCCTTGAAATTTTGAATTCAGGGGATTTCGTGGGCGATAAATCGACCTAGTGAGGTTTAATTTATAGGAAATGCCGTTTTGCTAAAGCTAAGTTTCGCCATTACTTATAAACATAAAATAGCATAGTAGGGATAAAGGACGCCAATCGAGTTCAATCCGCCGTCCAAATGTTTCTTTTATATTTTCTGTTTTCCATTTTATCCTTTTTGTTCTATTTTATTTTTAATTTTTTTTTTATATTTTGCCCATCTTTTCTTTTCTAAAAAAATATGATGTACTAAAAAAACCACTCGTAGCTCGAAGCTCGTTCATCCAGGTACTTTTATTAACACGTGCTGAAATGAAAATGACACCTAAACTGATAAAAATATCTTGACAATCAATTTATATTTCCTTTACTGTCAGTAAACATCTTTTTTCACAATAACAATAGCAACCTCTCATCTAAAACGCATGCTACCCATGTTATGCATGAGTAATAATTATTTATCAGTTGTGGTGTATGTTTCCTATCGCTCCCATGATGATTCAAAAAACGGCACTTGGGGCCAATTTTTCAATGCTCAGTTAAATTTTAACTAAGGAATAACTTTGAATATTTGTCTACAAAAATAGATTTAATTTTTAAATTATTTCGACATTAATATACTGGGCACACTGTGCGACAGTGTGACAAGTATACTTTAACAAATAAAACGACTAAATCGACTAAAAACAAAATACTGCTGTCAAAATCTATAAGTTTTTTTTAATGTAATTTATTGCCCATAAGTGAGTTTCTATGTGACAGTATGTCCCCCTTTTTTCAAAGTCCTTTCATAATAGTATATTTTTTTTAATTACGACATAAGCTTACTTTGTCGCTGCTTGATTAATTAAAAAAATAATTAACGTAATATTGTTATTTATTCTGATCTACTTTTATTTTAATCGTCTAAAATGTATTTTTAGTAATTTCGAAAGTTTTGAATCGATTAATCGTGTACTTGCGCACAACACTAGCAACATCGGGACCGCCTGTCCGCATGGAACGATCCAAGATGGCGGCTTTTACCTTACAGTCACTTTGAGCATGGCAGCGTTTTAAATATTTTTGTCATTTTTATTCAAAGCTTTTTATCAATCAATTTAATAATTTTACATATTTAATTTTAGTAATAATTTATTTAAGTTTTAACCATAAGTAAAGTGTTGTGCAAAGTGTTTAAACGTCGGACAATACTCTAGATCCTTGAGTGACCTTTTGAATAGACTTTCTTTTACCATATTGTTACATTATCGTATCATATTTTAATTGTGTGAAGAATAATTAGTAAATTTATCGGATTATTATGCTGTGATATAATTTAGGTATCAGTGCCACATAAAGTCTGATATTCAGGTACTATGCAAGAACTCCCACGTGGAAATATCTCACGTCTCTATTTATAGACCACGAACTTGGTTCATAAAAAGTGATAGGATAGATTAAAAATCAACTTCTAAAGTGCTGTATTAAATGTGTGTTGCTGTTAATTATGAATTATATCAACCATACTACCGAAAGTCTTAAGAATTACAGTATTCCGACATATTAGCAACCGGACAAATTCGATTGTCACTCCATATTTTATGTGATGTGTACCGTGTTCGTTACATCCTTCTATCTGTAATTTTACCGTACAACATCTTGTCTGGTGCTCAACTTCTCGGAAATAGCCTTGATTTACGAAACTGGTTCACAAGCAACAGATTATTATTTTCCAATTATTATAAAATTACCTTCAAACCTAAAAAGAGCATTTAACAAATAAGTCAAATGCTGCAATTTCTAACATTCATTGAACAGAATATCTAGGTTTCTAACCTGTTAAGGTAGTGTGGAATTACTTTAATATTAATACATTCTCCTTTTATTTTTTACAGTGATTAGTTCAGTTGATAGCTTGGCAGAAGCTATCATCCTTCCAACTAGTCAAAATAATCAAGGATTAGGTGTGGAGGCTGCAAAGAAACTAGCAATTAAGCAGATTTCTCCAGCCCTTGAGGCTGAAACTACTGCTACCATAGCATCCAATGTTGAACTTGTCAAGAGTGAACCTATTGTTGAAAGTCCTCCTACTGCCACACAATTGTTGTCTGCTAGTATAGAGAAAGTTGCTAAAGAACAGTTTACAAAGGCACCGGAACTTAAAGAAGGATCAAGTGCGATAGAAGCCCAAGCTAAATTAACACAGAGTATATCTAGTGTTCTGCGCACTAATCAATCTGATTTTAAAATGAAAGATATTAACCTAAATAATAAGACTACAGGTTTGTTCCTTTATATCTATGTGTCATCAGCATCTGATTTAAGTAGTTGCATTTGATTTCATCAATCTATATTTAAAATGCAAATTGCAGAATTATTACCATATTCAAATTTCTTTGTCAAATGTGAAAGATAATATGTAGTAGACTATGTGATTTTTTTGATATTTTATCTTCCAATTGTTCAGTATTCAAGAGATAAGTGAGATAAATGGAAGTGTATTTTTTATCAGATAATACTCAGAACTAAGAAATTAAGCATCATCAGTACTTTAGCTCTTCATGTTATGGTATTCCCAGAGTAGCTTAATCGGTTTGACTTCATTTCATCAATATAATAAGGAACCTATTTTTTCAACAGCATCTAGCATACTATTTTTTACCATTATCATAATATTGTTTACCATTATCATAATCCTGAGCTTCCCCCAATATTATATTTATGTATTTTTATGCAATTTTAATGTATAATTTAAGAATCTTCTTATTTATTTATCATCATGGCATATTACAAAAGTTTGCCTGTTACTTAGTATCTTTTTCTTTGTGTTAGATCCAGATACTGCCAATGGAAACACAACAGAGACAGTTAAAGCTGAGACTGTTAGAGAAGATATAAACAAAAATGAGAAAGGATTGAAAAATACCAAGAACAACAATAAGAAGTCTAATAATAAAATGGCGAATAATGAGTCAAATGTTAAAGAAGTCGAGTCATATGAAAATGGTAAAAATGAGACTGATAAAGTAGTTAATGTAGAAAAAGATAAAATCCAGCCTGCCGATGAAGTGGCTGCCCCTATGCCTGTGCCAGAAGAACCTGTGAAGAATGAACCACCAGCACCACAAATTTTTGTGCCTAAATACAAATATAATGAAGGTTTGTCAAGTTTATTACAGTTAGATAACTTTTTTGCATTTGATACATACATGAATACATTTGTAATTTGTATTTATCTTTTTCAGATCAATGGTCTCCACTTAACACAGCTGGCAAAAAATGCTATGACATTGATTTGCTGAAGCAAATAAAAGATGATCCGCTTTCTAAGAATAAGCCTAATGTTCCATTATTGGAGCATTGTAATGTCATCAGGGTAATTTGATTGATCATGTTCACTTATTATGAAATAACCTGCTAATTTCGTGTTGACTTGAAATCTATCAATCTTGTTCGTTTGCAGACAACACCAATGCAAGAGCCACAGCCATTCACGCCTATGTCGAGGCCTATGAATGATTCTCTGTTTCCTCCATTTGCCAAGAATTCTGGTATGGGATCCAGGAGTAATGCTCCTCGGGAAACTAAGAAAGATTCAAGGAATGCTGCTCCAGCTGGTAATATTATAACCATGATTAATTTAAACATAATTATGGACACATATGGCTTAGGAATGCTAAAGTTTTTCATTTTATGCAGGTAAAGGAAGTGTCAAACTTCCTCCAAATCCAAACAGCAACAGCCCTCATAAACCTGTTATTCATGTATCACTATCGTTACGAGAGGAAGTGAAACTTAATGAAGTAGACTCTGCATGGAAACCTACTAGATTCCGTAAAGATACTATAAATGAAGAGGAGTACAGAACACAGGTAAACACATTTTATCTAGTTTATGGTTTCAATAATTTCTGATTCACATGTTATAAATCAAATTTTACTGTATTAAGATTTAATGGTAACCTATAAAATATTAAAATCTAGGCAACTTAATAACAGATAATCAAATAGTTTTATGCACTATCACATACTCTTAACTCATTCAAGTTGTTGTGACTGTAGTTATATTATAAGTACTTATTTACTGAGATAATTAATTTAACTTTACTATTATTTCCTTTTTAATTTATTAATGCTTATTCTTATTTCAGGAACTGTACAAAAAGTTCAGAGGCATATTGAACAAATTAACACCGCAAAAGTTTGACACTCTTTTGGAGAGAGTCAAAACATTGGAAATTAACAATCAGAAGCGTTTGGAAGGTGTGATTGACTTGGTATTTGAGAAAGCCATTGATGAGCCTAACTTTTCTGAGGCATATGCTGCCATGTGTCACAAGTTGTCTGTTTTGAAGGTACATTAGAAAAAATATAGCAGTGATGACTAATTACTAATTCTGCTATGAACTTGGTTGTTTAATTTTTTTTTTATTATTGCATAGGTACCAGCGGATAACCCCACGATGCCTGACAAGTGTGTCAATTTCAGAGCTCTCATAATTAATAAATGTCAAAATCAATTCGAGACTCATAAAGTTGATGAGCAAATATTAAAACTAGAAAGTGAGCTTGCTGCTTCTAATGACCCTGTAAGTATTTAACCTTTAAGTTCAGTTAAATTTTTCTTGTCTTGAAGCATGCTTATAATACCTATGTGTTTGATTTTAGCTCAAGAAAAAGGAACTACAGCTCATGATTGATGAAGAAAATAGACGCGTAAGGATGAGGTCTGTAGGAAATGTGAGATTTATTGGTAAGTGTATTTTTTCTTATTTTAAATTTGATGATTTAGATAAATATTTTTTTTTGTCGTCAATAAAGTACAAGCTTCGCGGGATTGCAATAGCGAAAAAATATTCTAATATCAATTTGATTGTTTGTTGTCAATTATATTCCTATGAAGGACTTGCTTTAATTTCTTTGTTAATATTTGGATTTCCAAGTAATTTCTATGACTGCGAATGATAAATACCTTTAATTGATGTTTTTTTGTGTCAGGTAACATATACAAAATTAAATTTTACATAATGAACTCATACTTTAAAAATAAGAAGGGTTTTTAAGGGTCGCCAAGGCGCATGTAATGCTTCAAATGTTGCAAGCGTACATAGACTACAGTAACAGTTTGCCCACTAGGTATTGAGAATTTTGAAATAAAAAGGCCTCATACGGGAGAAGATACCAGATAACCAATTGTTAATTATATTTGGTTGTTATATAATAAAATGTTTGACAAAGCGACGTTTTACTGCATTTTTTAAATACAAGATGTAAAGCTTTTAACTTGAAGTAATAAGGAAAGTAGCACAGCTAATTTTAAACTGGAAACACTATTGCAATGCAGCGCCACCCGACGATACGTCGCGCGTTTTGCTAACAGTTTTTAAGATGTCATTACGTGATTGGCCCAGCTACAATATAATTTGTTGAGTAACAAACGCGTGCGTCGAGTTGCGTAGCGTAGCGTGTGTAAAATATTTAGCGAATGGCATAAGAAATATTTATCTCTGTAACAATTTGTTAAATTAAATTATACATATTGTGAAAAATACTTAATGACTTTTGCGAATTTAATATTTTTGTGACTGCGAAATTATATTTTGTGAAATTAGGTAAATAATCTAAATCAAACCAAAGTTAAAAATAAGTGTTAGTTATCATACCTAAAATCCTTGTCATTGTTTGTTGCAGGTGAATTATACAAATTAAAAATGTTGACATCAAAAATTATGGACTATTGTATGAAATATTTAATTGATAAAGTTGAAGAAGAAAAGCTTGAGTGCCTGTGTAAATTGCTTACAACTATCGGTGAACAAGTGGAGAGTGAACCTGTCACTCAACTTGATAATATATTCAAGAAAATGAAGGAGATTGTGGATCGTAAGTCCAACAAAATAAGCAGCCGCGTCAGGTATGTTTTGTTAGAATGATTGTTGTTCTATCCTTTTTTTAAATAAAATGTATTGTCAGTATAGAAAATTACAGAATTGGACAGAAGTACAGAACAGAAGACATCTTACCTGTATTTTTCACTAAATGTTCTTTTTGTATCAGGTTTATGCTTCAAGATGTTATTGAACTGAGAGACCGTAAATGGGTAGCCAAGACAGTTATTGATTCACAACCCAAAATGATGGATCAAATTCAAAAAGAAGCGGAACAACAGCAACGTCACATTGAGGTAATTAAAAAGTAATATTTTGCACACAAGTTTATAAAAATGTTAATGAACATTATCATCATCAACTGTCCCACTGCTGGACAAGAATCTTGTCACATATTTAAGGAATAAGCAAGAATTACCTTGCTCAAGACAGATTGCCTATGTCAAACCTATATTTTTTTATTTATCTCTAAAACTTTGCCTCATACTGGGATTTTTTCTGTGTTCTGGACGCATTTACAAACTCGCAATTTCACATAGACAATGACATCCAGACCAGAACCTATTTGTGGATCACACAAGAGTTGTTTCGTGAAGGATTCAATCCGACTACACCTTACGCGGCAAACCGTAGCCCAGCAGCTCATTACCCAGCAACTTCGCACACTGCAATCAAAATTGCTAAGCTTTTATTTCCCTACGACGTTTTCCTACACCATATTATATCAATGGTATCACATTAGTACTTGGAAGATTTTTGCTCACACCAAGCACTTCCATGACGAGCAGTAGTTGCTTGCACGTATGTAATTAGATACGCATACTGCCGTTACCGTAAGAGCTTCGCATACGTGTAAAATATGATTTGATTTGCTATAGCAATCTTGCTAACGAAAACAATACATATAAGAACAGTTTATGTTTATTATATATGAGTATTTATGTTTATTATACTCAATCACTTGCTAGAATATGACTAATTAATACACAACCATACTGGATCTGTATCATAATTTTTCTGCTCGTGTTTAGAAGGGTGACTGACGATTTGAGTTTGGAGTCACTGTTTGAAATTATGTAAATAATTCAATTGATCAATTATTAAGATTGTTGTATTAATCAACCACTATCATTCTCAAGTTTATATTTAACATGTCGCAAGTTTGATTATATTGGATGCAGCTATTTCGCATGATTTAAATACTGAAGTTAAAAATGTGCCTTTTTTTAGCTAATGAATGCTAACCCTATGGGTGGATTCCGACGTGACGAAGGTGGCCGTGGCAAGCGAGGCGACAGCCGTAGACAGAACGCCAATAATTCATTTATTGATAACAATTGGAAATCTAGAAATACTTACACTGTTGACACCAGCAAGCTTAAAGCTGTGACACAAAAGGTGAGTAGTACCATATTTACGTAACATTATGTTTAACTAATATGTGAGATTATTAATTAATGAAAGTTTAATTTAGTTTTTTGAGCACTGAGTATTGAGTATAGTTTTATTGATGGATAGTTCAATTTTGATGTACTAAAATTACCCATACTTTAGAGTATATGGACCTAACTTGACATATATGGTATAACCTTCAGGAACCGAAACAAAACTTTATTATAACGACCTGGAAATTTACAGCCAGATACAGAAAGAGTTATATTTTTCAAACCAAGTTTTATTTGCAAAAACGATATGAGTAAAATTAGGTTTTAAGTTTCCATATAAATTGCCTACACACTTATTTAGTATTATTGTTACATCATTATTGATAGCATTGAAAAACTATAATCATAATGTTTATATATAATTATGATTAATAAAACATAGTTGGAAAGATTTACCTTTAGACATCATGCACTAAGTAATCACTTTTTGTTTTGTTTTAGAATTTGCATAATATTAAATTAGCTCCGCAAAATTCAGCTTGGCATCATGGATCAGGTACAAAGAATACTGCGCAGGCGAGTAGTAGTCCAATGATCAGTATAAGCAAAAATATGTACAGTGTTCTAGAGAATGTACAAACTGATCCTACATCACTAAGAGGTATGTACTACTAAGAATTTTATTAAATTAAAGGATCCAGCCGCCCAGCTAGATCCTTTTACTTATCCAAGTATGGTGAATCGTTTCCTTAATGGCAAAATATTATAGCGGAGCTGTTTTTTTGCGACAAAACTCAGTTTTGTCCTTGAGATGTGCAAAAGATGCAATCCTAACAATACTCTAGCATGGTACCTACATATTATTGGAAAGCTGCGAAATCGTAAATATTACATATTATGTTACAAACATCTGCAGAACATAAATGTTACACTTTTCAAAAAATATCTTCAGTTTTATTAATCCTTCACTTACTATGTCTATATTGGTATAGTTTCTTGTATTTTTATGGTTTAATTTAAGATAATAAAGAACCTAAACTTCTACATAAAATTATCGACCGATAGCATCTTGAAACAGTTAAGTTTAGAATTTGGGTTGCTTAGTCAAATTGGTCAGAAATGATGGATACTACCACCTACCACCATTTATGTTGTCAAAAACGAATAAATAAATGCAACAGTATAGTACAAAATTTGGAAACACATTGCTTTTAATTTCCATTGACAAAATAAGTATTTTATGTGTATTTATCTGGCCTATTGGCTTAGGGAATTTATATATTTCATAGTTCGAGAGCACAAATTTAGCTTACAATACCATTGTATCTGAGATCTATCATGAAGACGATCATATCAGGTTTCAGTTCTTCCATCTATTGCAACTCACTGACACCACCTTTTGCATTGTCACCTATTGTTTACCTTTTCCGTCAGTTCGTTTAGAGATATCTAATGTCTAGTTATTTAACATATCTAGTGAAATATTTAAGAATTGGTGTCAAATGTACCCGCATCAGCTTCTAACTTCTTTAATATGTGACATTCATTATTTTAAATGAAAACTATTTGGCCATGCCTATTTTTTTTTGCTGAGTCTAATCCTAATATAAATGACTGCACGGTTGGTGCGGTGGCTGGGCAACCGGCTGCCGTGCAAAGTGTCGCGGGTTCGATTCCCGCACGGAACAACACTTTGTGTGATCCACAAATTGTTGTTTCTGGTCTGGGTGTCATTGTGTATGTGAACTTTATGTTTGTAAACGCACCCAACCACACAGGAGAAAATCCTAATGCTAGGCAACGTTTTTTTTTTAAAAAGAGGAAAGAAAAAAAAAGGAATACAAAGGAATTGTCTTTATGGATCAGCCCCTATTTTATTAACTGGTGTTATAAGTTACATTTTGCTATTTAATATTATGGATTATGGCAAGTTACCATTAAGCAGTTTTTTAAGAGTTTAATCTATAGAATCGAATATATTATACTGATTTGTGTAATTCTTTAGGTAATCGGGATATGACTCCTAATTTCTCCAAAGGGGCCTCTATCGAAAGGTCTACATTTAACTCCAGAGGTGACTTCAGTAAGTGCAGTGAATAATATTATATATTACAGTGAAACTTGGTTAAGTGGGACCTGGATAAGTGAGAAACCTCCATAACTGGAACTCATGCTGAGGTCCCAACACTTTGGCACTGAATTACCTCTGTTAGTGGGATGAGGTAAACCTCTGGGATTTGTTCTTTCGATTTATCACCATAGTTAGCTCTATAACTGAGACAGCGAGTAAATTTTATATGCATAAACCTCTGTAACTGAAATAACATTTGTTTACTCGTTCTTATTCTACCCACAAATTCCACACGTAATTCCAAGTCCACCTCTATTAATGGAACCCTCTGTAAATGAGACAGATATTTATTTATACCTGTATATCTGAGACACTGGGTAAGTGGAATACCTCTATAAGTGAAACGACATTGCAGGTACCTTGATTTCTCACTTAACCAGGTTTCACTGTATTATACATTAAGCTTACTTTTATGCATGAATAATTCAATAATCATATATTTTTTTATAGCAGCGAGTGGAAGTAGCAGCCGTTCTGGGTCGGTGGGCGTCGCACGCTCTAACTCTGGCACTCGAAGTACGAGCGCCGCACCAACTACTCCGCCAGTAATAAACGATACACCAGCACCAGCGCCTGCTCCAGCTGCAGTTCCTCAAGAGCCTCTGCCTGAGGCTAAGAAAAAATCTATCAAATCTATGATAGATCTTTGTATCATTAATTCAGACGAAGTTGAAATGGTTGCTGATGTCAAGCAGCTGTACGAAGCTAAATATCACGCTGCTGTGGTTAACGAAATACTACAAATCGCTGTAGAAAAGTAAGTAAATATTAATTATCTATTATTATTAATAAGAGATCAAGATTGTTATAACCTTAAATAAATATATTAATAATACTATTCTTATTTCAGGGCAGCAAAAGAGATTGCGCTTATATCTAAAGCATTGCTCAATTTGGTGACTTCAAATACCATATCTGCTGATAATTTTGTGGCGGGCATCAAAGAAATACTAGAATTTGCGCCTGATTTGTTCATAGATATTCCTATGTTGTATGACAATTTAGGAAAAATTATTGCTCCCCAAATCGAAAAGAAGGTAAGTTATAGATTGTAGTAACACTACCATTTGATGGAATCAATTAAAACATTCAAATTAAAAATTTTAGTTACAATCTATTCATTATTTATTTTCAGCATATCACATTTGTACAGATATTTAGGCTTTGTGAAGTGATCATTTCTGCTAATCATGGGCCTCTATTTTTGAAAGCCATTATTAGAGAGCTCATAGAAAGTATGGGACCTTCCTTTGTTAAAAGCAAATGGCAAGAGTCAGGCCTTCAAGTTAAACAATGGATGGATGAAAAACAGGTCAGTATAATATCTATATCTACACATTATAAGGAGGAAAGAATGAATTTTTTGTTTGTATTCAATAGAAGCGATGTGAATCATTCTTTAACCGTTGGAATCCTATATTATCCATGATGAATATAGGCTTTATTTATTGAAATAAAAAATTGTGCAAGTTACGATAATGTAACCCGATGTGTGAAAGTACTTTTAACTGCCAATAGGAAACTGTTGAAAGCATATACTGAGGGTTTTCTAGGCCTAATATTAGTATTTAGCTGCATCAGGATTAGGGATTTGAAAAAATATGAATTCAATAAACTGAATACATTTCCTTCATGGACTACGTGGGCTGCTGCCCACAGCTTCGCTCGCGCTCTTTTAAAGGATCACAAGTTTTCGAAAGCAAAAAAGAAATGATGCACTACTTTTTTGCTGGTTACAAATAGTCCGCATACCAATTTTTAGCTTTCTATCTTGAAAATTAAATAGTCTTATACAAACTTCCATTACCGTTTTAATAGTCCACCACTATTAAAACGGTTAAACAACTATCTCCACTAAAAAATAAAATCATGGCAATTTCTAGCTCCGTTCTGTCGTGAAAGACGAACAAACAAACAGACACACAAATTTATAATATTAAGTCTGTCATCTGTAACTTTTTAACAAGTGAGTTTACAGAGCCGCTGGATCATTATAATTTTTTTAACCATGGTAATTATTATTATTAAAGTATCCAAAGAGATTGGTTACATTAAAAGGGTATGCAAATAGGTTGGGTGATTCTTTAAACCACTGAACTTTTACATTTGAAATTCGGTTCAACGATAGTTTGAGACATTGGCACTGGAAAGAACGTATGATTGTTATATAACTCGGGAATCCCACGAGACAGGAAAATTCTATTCATCAAAATTCCGGGACTCTGATCGCTTAACACGTTAAACGCCAAGGGGTGACTGGTGACTGACGTTAGCGGAGGATTTACCTTCAACAGTTTTTATTGGCATTCAGTCTTAAACCGCTGAACCTGTTTGAGTGCAATTCGATACAACTATAGTTTGAGATCCGGAAAAAGACGCCTGAGAGTCAACCGCTGTACCTATTTGATTGAAATTCGGTTGAACAATGGTTGGCAACCTAGGTAAATCCCCAAAAGGCCGGTAACGCACTTGTAACGCCTCTGGTGTTCATGGGTGTGTGTCCATGGGTGACGCCGATTGCTTACCATCAGGTGATCAGTCTGCTCGTTTACCGGCTAATGCCATAAAAAAACAAGACTTATTATGGGCCACTTCTTCAATTAACAGTTATCTATGTAACTGTAGAATAAAATTGTAATTTCTCAAACTGTAGAATAAAATCGACATTTGAGAGTTGAATTGAAGAATTTTCGTATACTCAAAGTTGTTCCTCTGATAAAATTTATGGGTCCCAAATAATCCAAATTCTGCCATGAGCCATTATTATACGCGGATGAAGTTGTAGGAAACAGCTAGTATTAATATTATGATGATTGTTGTGTATCAATTCGTAATGATATTCTTGAGCTTTTTTAAATTTTTTTCATTATGTTCAGGTGACGAAGTGGTTGGAAGATAATAAATTGGAATTTTTGGAAGGAGACACGAAGGTTAGCGAAGAAGCGAAAAAAATCATGACACCAGCTCAGACCCAAGCCAAATTGATCCAACTCATGAATGTTGATGAGAGTTGTGAATGTATAAAAGGATGGATTCAGGTAAAAAAAAATAAAACATGTTTCTACTGATTTCAAAGCATCCAAGTGTTTCATCCATTCCATTTTAGCCAATAATGTATCTAGTTAACCAGATTTAATTTCCTCAGGATAAACTCAGCAGTTTTACTAATGAAGATTGGTTTATGCGAGCACTAATCCAAGCCATATGCGAACATGCCCTTTTCGGTGCTGAAGGACGCGATGTACCGCACTTCAACCAAGATCGCATGAATAAATATGCGAGTCTGATACACGACTTTGGTGAAACGAAACAGTCAAGAGAAGCGAGCTGTTTATTTGGTATACAGCAACTTATTCGAAGGCTAGAACACCCACAAGGTAACAATTAGTTAATAAAACTAGTAATTACAAAAGACTCAATGTTAGGTGCGATAAATTTACATTTGGTAACAAAAATAGTTATAATAACAAGCAAAAAGACTGCTTAAAGTTCATCATGATCATGCTTTGTATGATCTTTCCGCAGATTTAACAGTCAGTTTATTTATGTATTTATAAATTCATGTATTTGTAAACACAGACAAGTACACAGGAGAAAACATATATAAAGAAATTGGAGGTACAAAACAGTAAAAACTAACACATTTTATACTGGTTTTCTTCAACAAAATATTGGTATGGTAATCTTGGAAAATCCTATAGGTTTGGGAGGTTTGCTTATTATTCTCGTAAATGTAATTATTATTTATATTCTTCTTCGCTTCCATTAGTCAAGTATCAAGCATAACCAAAAAAAAACCAAGAAACAAAACTGATATACTATAGGTTCCTGGCCCGTTCGGTTATGGTTTTGGCCAATATGAATAACGTATTTGTGAATTCTCACTTATATTGCCCATGAATGATTTTAATCAACTCTGGATTTTTTTCGGGCATTTGTATATTGATATGATTTGTAAGGAAAAGTATTTCAATTTTTTTTTTATTTAACGAAAGAAAGGATTTGTGGACGTTAATTGTTTCCCATTCATAACCCTGAAAATAATGTTTTACTGACTAAACTTTTTTTTGTTACAGGCTTAACTTTAGAGATATTCCAATATCTACATGAACAATATATTATTTCACTAGATGGGTTTATAGCGTGGGAAATATCTGAAAAAGAGCCAGAAGGAAAAGGTAAACTACTAATCATTTGTCTTGCACAAAAATATTACTTGGACAAAATTATTTATTGTATTTGTTGTGGTTTTCAGGTGTAATGATGAAGGCGTTGACCTCGTTCTTTACGAACATCAAGGAGGCCGACAACGAGGACTCATGCAGCGAGGACTGACGAGCGCCCTACCACGCGGTTGCGATGCCGCCGCTGTTTGCGCCGGTGATCGCACCCGTGCTGATCGCGGCAACGCCCGAGGCATCGTCTGCATTCAACGTCTTCTATATTTTTATATATTAGAATCATCCTAAACGGAACTCATAGATTATATTATTATTCTAATGATAACGCTTAACCTAACAGAAGCTAGAAAAAAGTTGTATAATATTTTTTAACGCGAATAGTTATTTATCAAGATTTTAAATTAAATTTGCTTCAAAATTTTATGCATGGTTCGGTATTGTACCTAATATAAATTTAGGAAATTTCATCAGGTTTATTTTCTATGGGTGTAATCTGCATGGTACAATGTAATCATTTTACTATTGAAATATTATAATTATGAACGACTGTTATAATTGTCAGATATTCAATGTTTTTATTTCCATGATCCTAATAGCACTGTGTGTGCATTTCTCTGTTCTCAAGATTGCAATATCTTTAATATTCCTTTTAATGTTTTATTTAAATGTTTTTACTGCTTTTAATATATTTATATATTAATAGATTACAATTGAAAGTCGTAAACTTTTATCCTACTCTGATTATTATTTTATTTTATAAATCTATTGTATAATGTCAATCTTGACAACAGAGAATTTTATCTCTGACGCAATCCGCATGATATGAATTTTTTGCGATAGTCGCCTACTTATACATGTTTCATTTTATCTTGACTCGTCCGGACGCTTCACCATTTTACTAAATTAACTGTATATTCTGGTCTACTATACTTAGTTACTTTTGCATGCTTTCTTTGGGTTATAGCTTAGTCGTATTAGTGAAGTCACTGTTTAGAAAAATATGTACACGTACTCCTGTTTATAAGTTAACTGTTATCTGGTTTGATGATGAAACTAATAGTTAATATATGAATCTAATTATTTACTTAAATCATATAATTCTATAGTTAATGAATGTTTGTTTTTCAAAAGGCTGAATGCAGTAGCGGATTTATGATGAACGATTCCCAAACGCCAGGTTGTTGGTGTTCTGTTAAAACGTAACTTTATTTTTGTAAATCAATTTATGACATGTGGGTTATAGTCTGCCGTATGATCCGTCACTGCAAACAGATAGGTAAATGTAGGTAATACGATCATTTAGTGTGAGCACCATACTTATCTCGTACAAAAAGTACTTGTTATGTCGTTAATACGGTTGTATTAATAAAACTTGGTAAATACTTGTATAGATAATGTTAAGTGTTGTGCTTGCACAGATGTCAGGCGCAGTAGCGGAGTATTACAGCGCCGGATCCCCAGTCACGTTGTTAGTGTCTTGTTGAACATAAAGGCCTTTGGGTATTTGGTTCCACGGTGGAATCCGCCGCTGCACACAGATTCTAGAATTGTTCACAATACAGCGTTGATTCCAACTCAATTATAGTTATAAATATTTAATGATTGACCCCTCACCGGATACTTCGAACCATGGCTATTTACACTATTAGTAATTTGGTTTCACTTAAATCAGTTCAATGTTTCATTACCGATGCATATTTAAATTTGCCTTAATTTAAATTGAGAAGAGTAACAGTTTCTTTACGTGTATGATTTCTCTGATTTTAATTATTTTCAATTTCATTTATTTTATTTCCTTTATTAATATTCAGTAAGTTTTAATTTCTTAATTATGTTTTAAATATTATTTTTCAAAAACTGCAAGTTATATTATACTTTCTTATACCATGTAACTTTTGATTTAATAGATATTTTTATTTAGTTTTAATTTAAATAGTTAGCTGTGACTCAGTAAGCAGTGGTATTTGTCTCAAATTTTCGTGAATTCATTTGGTCGGGTCCGAGGTGCGCAGCGAGTAGTGCTGGCGAAAGCGACTCGTTCGCCTTTGTCATGGATGGCACGCTCCGCTCTCCGTCCTTTATAAGTAACGTTCACTTAACTGTCTCCGCTGCTGAGTTTTTTTTATTACTTATTAGCTACTCTTGTCAGTTACTATGTATGTTATGTAAATAAACTTTTTAAAAAAAGCTAATCTTTACTGAGTATTCCTATTTATGAACACCACAGTGTAAAACAAAAGCAATAATTGATTTAATAGATCTACAACTTCATCATAGTGTTAATGTACTCAAAATACAAGAAAATATTTACAATTTTATAAATTTTATATTAACAGGATTGAGATTTGTATATATACATTTAGTTTAAAACAAATTCAATATAAAATATTACCATAACATGAAGGTGGCCCGTGGTGTTAAATAACACCAAGCATCTCAAAATCTATAAAAAGTTGCATATTTTAGTAAATAATATACAGTATTTCCATACATTAAAGAGTAATAAATATATTATTTGTTGTACAAACGCCTGTTCCCTTGCTGTCATATAATATAGTATAATAGAAAGGCAGCTATCTTTACCTAGCAAATAAAATAAGAAAGACTGAAACTCAATCCAAATATTTAAAAAATAGAACTAATAATTTATCAAGATTACGAGTCGCATGTAGCGTCGCGTTTGGCGTTATGTATTGCGTGGAAGTTACAGATCACTGCCAATCCTTTTCTCTTTCTCGTTCTGCCTGCTAGAAAAAGATAGCATTCTAAATGATGATCGCTATTATTACAGCAGGTTGGGCTAATATAATCCAATGACCAGTTTCTCGTCTCTATTTTGTTATGGGAACTACATTCTTTATGTGCGTAACGGAATTTATTATCCATACATACTTTCGTCCGTGTCGTGTTGTTTCGCTTTTTATTTTTGTTGTGAAATTAAAATGTGCTACACTGTAGAACTTTAGTAATTTGTTCCAATTGTTATTGACATTGTTTAATCCTAAAACATATCGTCCTAAGTTGCAATAATGAAAAATTCGTAAGAGACTTAATACTAATTGTGAGATTTTTAAGCTAAGCACAGAACTTGTGTTGTAACCCGTTTAACCATACTGTTGTGTTAATAAAATCTATCAATAACAACTTTATTGTTACTGTTATATTACGGCGGAGTTAAATATTGATATATTAATAATAATACATGTATGTATAATTGTAAGTTATCGATTACTTGACATTTATACATAATTTTAGAAAATTCTCTTTTACATAGAAATTAATAATTTATGTTGATCGTATCCGTATGTGCGTTATGATGGTGTTCTAACTAGACTAAAATTAACTAGGTTATAACATTTTATGGAAGCGCCTGATTCTGGTTAGGTTGCTTTGCCGATTGCTGGCTGCAAGTACCGACATGTTAGGTCACGGTAAGAATACCTTCGTCAGTATATTTAAAAAAAAATGCGTGAGATAGCTTCCTGGAGTGGCGTCTGCGCAAGCCGCTGAACAAGCTCTACCAACTTTATAATTGAGAATCCATTTTATAATGAGTTGGTAACAATGTAAATGCAAAAAATATAAGCCTAAATACTGGCCTGTTAAATTGTAAATAAAATATGTAATATGTAATTATACATTCTAATTTAGAAGTGAATTCACTGTATGATAAAATGGCGTAAATTGTATCATTGACAAAGCGTCTTAGAAATGGCTGTAATGCCATAGATAAAATTAGATAATACAACGAGAAAGCAATAAATATTATGAACAAGTTAAAAATTTAATGAAATATCCATAGAAGCTGACGAATGTATTATTCTGTGACTAAGTACCTCAAACCCATGGTATATTTGCTATTGAACCTTGATAGGTTCTAACATGTTCCTACAACTTGCAAATAACAATGCTAGGTATAGCTATAGAGGATTTTATATGCAATAGATTTTGAAAATTCTACTTAAGTAGGGTAACCCGTAGGATAGTTTAGTAACTTATATAACCGGAAATGTTGTTACAATAGTGTAAAAAAAAGTAAATGGAATCTGTCAAAAACATTAACGGCCGATTTTTCAATCATCAGTTAATTCTTAACTGCAGAATAAAAGATATTTGACAAGTGTTTAGTATGGAAGGATTATCAAATATTCAAATATATTCCTCATTAAAATTTATCTGGCGTTGGATAAATCGGCCCTAATACTATAGAATATTTTGTCAATTTATATAGAAAAATGAATGAACATGACATTCTAGGGTAAAGGCTTCAATGAAGAAACGAATAAAACCCACTTTGACCAATCGTTTACATACTTAATATAATATTAAAAATATGGAGAGCAATAAATATAACAAAAAGTCGAAATGACCGGGGAATCTCTTTAGTAAATGAACGAATTCATCGCATAAATGAACGAATTGCACATTATTGTACAGGTACTTATCATAGGTACCTACTTAGTTAGCACTCTTTGTTTTTGTAAGACTTTATTTTATGAAAGACTGTAATTAAAATGCTTTTAGGCAATGTATAAAGTAAGTACTTAGAGTTATTTGATAAATTGACGTTTTTATATTCTACATACTTATTAAAAATGATATTATTAACCATGAGTCCACGAGGTACCATATTTTATTTCCCAATATTTTAAGGTGTGGCATGCACCTGTTTCCTTGAGATTTCCGACATAAAAACTAATAATAGTAATTCTTTTCCCAGGACTCTGAAACTATCATTGTACCAAATTTTGACTAAAATATTTGGTTCAGTGGTTTAAGCGATAGGGTTCCGGAATTTTAACACAGTTCTTGTCCCGTGGGATTTCCGAAATAGAACTATAATAGATATTTTCGTGTCTAAAACTATAGTTGTACCCAATTTCAATGAAATATGTTCAGTGATTTGAGAGATAGATAGTTCCAGGATTTAAGTTCTAGTTCCCGTTCCGACCCGTTCCCATTAGATTTCCGGGATAAAAATCTATCATACGACCTTTCTCCGGCTTAAAACTGTCATTGTACTGAATTTCACTCAAATAAATTCAGTGGTTTAAGATATGAAATGTCCTGGGACTTAACACATGGTCCCGTTAGTCTGGGATTTCCGGGTTCTAATAATGTGGCCTGGTTTGTATCGGCGCGATGTTACCATTGCGCATTTCCAGATGAAATGTAGTTATTATAGCATATAACTGTAATAGTTGTAATAACACATGTGATATATAGGACTTTTACCTTGATATTAATATAATATATAGAGGACATTAATGCCCTCTATAAGATTAGTATATCACTTTGTTCTATGGTCCATAATTTCCACAGCGTAAGCTATAAGGAGTTTTTTGGTAGGTTTATCACACATGGGCTAACATTATCAAGATTTTGACACTTTCCCTTTTTTCTCTTGTTAAATGTTTAGGTATCAGTAATAATGTAGGATTCAAATGAATTTGTCAAATCGGTCCTGTAGTTTAGGAGCCTATTCAATTGAAACCAAAAATCAAATCTTTCCTCTTTGTAATATTAGTGTAGAAGTGTAGATAGCGTAGACAAGTAAAAATACCTATGTAATTTGTTCATTTACCGAAGGGCGTTTATTCAAGGGAGTCATTACCCTAACTTATCGGTAAAATTATGGTATGTGATGATCTGCCCGAAAACGCGTAGTAGTCATTGGTGGGTTGACCGTATGCAGATGCCGAATAGGAATGGTATATTATAGACAATTGCTATGTACCTATGGATACTACACTTATTTATCACATAAAGCCGCGCCAGCCGCGGTTACAAAAGCTAAAAGGGGCTGGGAGTATTTTTTGGGTATTGATCAAATAACTCTTTATTTTATTTTAGTAATGGCGTAATGTCAAATTTGTATGCAAATAAATAATCGGCTGAGGTCACAATCACATGGTCGACATACATAATCTACTGCTTTTATTGTAATGCTTTCGAAGCACTACACTACAGCATTCTTATTATACATTACAACGTACCTACCTACTTAGTTATTTTGTTTGTCAAGTGTTCACATTTAAAATGTGTCCACATCAATGTATATCTAGCATTATCATCATCAATGGCCGGAAGACGTCCATTGCTGGACAAAGACCTCCCTATGTATATTTATACTACGTACTAATTTGCCAAAGCGCCGTAACATTAAAATAAGTAATAAAAGTTATGTGATTAAGTCACAAAAGTTTCATTCCCTTTATATTTTTATTAAACTTAGAGATGTTTCATATTTTTATACATAGTTTAGTCGCAGATTATCATAATAGTGATCTAAACTAAATATATGATTGTTGGCATGCATTAAGCGTAAAACAATTCTTAGTATTATTATAACTTGTCGCCTACCTATGTGGGTACCTACCTACCTACGTGTATAAATAAAGTCAAGCAAATACAACAAGTTCCTAGTTATGGAAAAGTTAAGATTTTACCAAATAGGATATTGTTACTGAACAGTTTCTGTGAGATACTGCTTTCGAATGATCATAATATTATTATGATTTATGTAGTATTGCAATGTACTACTTGGCTACTTTAGTAGCTGGCGAGATTTCGCAGTGATTGCTGGGCATGTTTATACGTAACAATCCTTATAATTTTTCACTCGGTTTGTAAGGTAAATAAAAAGTAAAAATACCTACAATTAAATATAAGCTTAATTCCATACTGGTGCCCATTAAAACCTCATGACTAAATAGGATACTTTTCACCAATTGTAGGTAGGTACTTGTTATTGCAGCTTAAACGCATTGCTGTCAACAATTTAAGTAGGTACTATCTGTAATATTGTTACTTATAATTAAAATATGCAAGCAATTATGAAATAAGGTACTTATTAAATTTGTATTTGTAAACCCTTAAAATCATAATGGAGCGCTTTATGCGGCACGGATTTAGGCATTTTTATTGAAACAAGTACTTAATTGATATTCAACCAGTATACAAATAAGTAACCACAAATGTGTATAAACAAAACAAGGCAAGTTACACGTTAAGACATGTGTTGATGAATGACATTGACCAATATGACAATTTTTGCACAGTACGTAAGCAGTCGCTTGCGCTCCGTCTACAAAATTTAATTCCGAAATGAGTAGGTACCTATGGCAAAACTATGTAAACTATGTACCCTATAGTAAAATCACTATTATACTTAGGTAGTACCTAAGCATAATAGTGATCATTGTTTGGTACTTACTTACCTATTTGTTGGGTATGCTTTACGCTTCGGCTCAATTATTACCTAATTAAGTAATAGATATGTATAGAAATAAATTGTAATTGAATATATACCTTTTACGGATCGGAGATGTTCAAATATACAAAAACAAATTATAATAATATTATGTACTGTCTGTATATTTTATAGCGGTTACGTTATGACTTTTGTCACCATAGGCTATTTTGCAGATTTAGAAAATGTTTAAAGTTACTAACATAATGAATGGATTATTAATAACATTGTTTTACCGTCGAGTAATATAATAGAATATAATATGTAGGTTGTGTATACAAGTGCTTTATTTTTTCATGAAGGCATCTCATAGCGAACTGTTAAATTATTCTAAATCATTATATATGTCCAAAAAATGTTAGTTGTTATTGGTTCTTGTAGTAAATTTGTTGTAGATCCATCCATCAATAATTAGTTTTATGCGTTACAATTACAACAAACTATAGTGAACTAATCCTTATTTCCTTACTTATATTATAAATTGGAAAGTGAGTTTGTTTGTTTGTTCCGCTTTCACACCGTAATTACTAAACCGATTGGCAGACATAAAGTTAGAAGTCTGGATTAAATGATAAGGTACTTTTTATCCCGGAAAAAATTGATATTCCTGAGGGAAAACAAAAGTATTGGGATAGATGGCGCTGTGTGTATTGGTATATGTCACATAGGCTACTTTTTATCCTCATGTGACGCGAGCGAAGCCGCGGGTAAAAGCTAGTTAGCAATAATCCGAGGTTTTCAACATGTTTAAATTAATTTCTATGTAGGTATTTGGATCCAGGCCTTTTTATTTACTAAATATATTTAGGTTTCTCTGCAAAAAAACATAAAATTAAAATGTTTCCATATTTGGATAGAGGCGCTTTATGTCAAGACTTAGGTGTTGTTATTTAAGACCAACTTACAGTTACAACACATTCTCTACAAAATTGAAGTGACTTAGGAAAACAATTTCCATTTTATTCTAAGTAGGCGCATGAATTCCTTAGGGATTCTTACTACTAATGTTATGTGGCATTAATCGTAAGTTTTACAGGAATAATAACCTTATAACGAGATATTTAGGATATTCGTTAATGAGGGCTTGCTGCCTTAAAACGCATTAATATTTTTACTAAAATAGGCACTTAGAATATTGTCAACAAATGCAAGTTTACAGAACTAATGTGTTTCATAACGAATTTGTTATAAGGCGAGTAATCGACACGTGGCGAAAGTTAATTATTCTAAAGCTAATTGTTTACCACCATCTAAATATTTACTTAATTAGGTGTTTGTTATATTTATTATTATTTCATATAGATTTTAACAACGACTATTTAGTACTTACTGTAATGTTGGTTGTCAAGTTAAAATGTTTTTCTGAATATGTGTCCCTACTTTCTATACAATATGTACTTAAATATTTAATGTCTTCCTTACAATGCTTACTATTAAATAAAAGCCACCAGAAATAAAACCTAGATATTAAGTTAACTACCTAAGTGTCTGGTTTTATTTCAGGTACTAGTACCTACCTACCTTACCTACCTTATCAAAATAATGACTTGTTGAAGTTTTTCAGTTATCGTATTTATCAGATAAAAAAGATTTTATGGAAACCTAGCAATAATAAATAGTGATAAAAATATTTACAATAACTATATTTATGTACATAACGTACAACTTTCATTTGATAGGATTTTTGGAAAGAATGATGTGCTTTTTTCATACATGCTACATCTCTGCATACCTATACATATGTAACAAATGTGTATTTCCGGATTGCAACTTTTTACTAGATATTTGCTTATCTATGTCATTGCTGTCTTTGCTTAAAACTTCTCAACGTTTTAAAAAGGTACTTTATCAATATCATCGGGTTGTATCTACTTGAGTGTCCAATTGAAATGGATATTTCGAACAGAACGAATGTACCTATTTAATGATCTGTTGTGAAACTAAATCATATAAGTACGTACCTGCACCTATGTTCAGATTTGTAACCGTGCTGTAGGCATTGAAAATGATTTTGAATTTGCCAATACAGGAATTGGTCTCGAGAATCTGACAAGTAAAAAATACCTTGGCATGATCTTGATAAAGCGTTTCTTTTCATTGGTACCTGATTATGAGTAGCTAATGCACGTATGTAAACATCACTTCCATAGAAGTCAACAAAAATTTAACTACCTTTATACACATATTTTTGTTTAAAAATTGTTAGGTACGTAAGTTGGATTTGTATATTACCTATACATTAGAAGTAATATGTATTGTATAATAAAATGTACCTATATTTGCATAAAAGATTATAAGTATGTTAGGTGTGATAGACTTATACTGCCGGGCGTTGTTACCTAAATATAACAAATAGACAATGCAGACGTCACATTTAATTTTTTACTAGAACATTGGCTAGATTTAAGCGGGGACACAAAATTGTACACTCCATTAATAAAAAAGTAGCTTTCAAAAGTGTTGTCATTTATTGGTTGTACTTGTACCTGTCCCAAATGTGCAATAGCGTTTGTATCAACTCTTATAGATGCTTAAGCATAGTTTTATGTCATATAATTCCATGATGTCTGCAAACTCCTCCGTCAAAGATTCAACAACGTCTTTCCAATAAGAACTTTTGTCTTCATCGTCCTGTATTTGTATTTGTACTTGTTTTAAATCTGTAATATGTAGGTAGATTAGGTACGATTGATTATCTAGTTTCGCTGCGTAAAGTTCACAAAGTATGAATACTATATTATCTGAACGTGGATGATATAATTTTGTAGACTTCATAAATAAAAAAACATTATTAATTGTGAGCTATTATTTACAAGGTGGCCGATAGATCATCATAGACCTATTGCCATTTTGAGATAAGTCATTTACCTACTTGAAATTGGTACCTAGTGGTGCTTCCACAATGCTGTTAGAATGTTTATTTACACAAATTTGTAAGTAATACTTAAATACAGTAATTTTCATTATTTTTAAACAACAGTATGGAAGCACCATACCCACTTTACCACCTACCTAGTAACTAAATACCTACAGTAAATAAGTAGGTAGCAGGAAAAGTAATAGAAATATTGAGAAACACTAACTTTTACAAACTCCACAGGCTATTAAGTTAAATAATCTTTTTAAATCAACTTCGTCTTCAACTTTGCCGATGTAGAAAAAACGCACAATCCTCGGCATTAATTCTAAAATACGCCGCAACGGGAACACTGCAAATCTCCATTGATGTATACTTAAAGTTACTGGAATAGGTAATACACATCTAAGGTACCCAGAGGCGGAGGCAACCAAGAGAGCGCCCTAGGCCTAAGCACCTCATAGGCGCCGCCGGCACGCGTGTCTCGCCGCGCCCCTCAGTAACCTGGCGCCCTAGGCACTTGCCTATTTTGCCTTAGGGATAATGCGGCTCTGAAGGTATCTATCTATAACGAAATATAAAAGAATTGCGAAGAACTAAAATAAAACCAGTATTCGAAACGGCATGTAAGTGCTCTGGTTTCCTGTATTCTTGTTAAGATGTTACGGACTGAAAACTTCAAAAGCAACAGATTTTCTCAAATGATGGTGTGCTTTTAAGTAAGTATTTCATGATATTTATTTCGCACAAAGGTTATCTGGAAGAAGAGACTGCATGATAAGTCCGCCTTTGTATCGATTTACAATATTTCACCACTCACTAGGTATGTTATGACTCCCATCAATTCCCCAAGTAATTCGGAAAAACCTACTAGGTACTATATTTATATCGAGCACAATTCCAGCATGCATGCTATATCGAGAAATTGTCTAAAATCTATATGATACCCAGTAACTAGGTAACCTAACACTCCCAAAACCGAAACTCTGCAGTCACATAGGTACTTAACATCACGCTTGTCTCCTATGAGGGTAGACAGAGACTATAGAACGCCAAGTAGGTACTATGATTCTTACATATCTCTTTCGCTTCATCAACAGTCGGCAGTTACATTTGCTAACGGCCGAAATTAATAACCGTTCCCATTAAGTAATTTACAACATCCCAACAGGAATACATGATACTCATCACACACACTGTTATCTAGCAAAGCATAAATAATGCAGGCTACACACTTTACGATTTGACTGTAACTACAGTTAAAACGTTAGGTCCTTACAACCTACAAACCTTCAGTTAAAACTGTACTTACAGTTTAGCTCACACACGATTTAGCTGCAGATACAGTTTGACTATACAGTTACACTGCACAGTTAAGTCGTAAGGTGTGTAGCGGGCATAACACAGGAAAACCAAAGTCCCTTTGTTAATTGGGCAGAGAGAGCAGCAATTAGGTATAAGTTTATTATAACGTTTGTACTTAAGTACTTTAATTGCGCACTTACCTAAATTGTTAGCGTAGCGATATGCTATGTGCCGAACGAAGCAGCTTATGTCGGAATCCTGCCTCTGCACTTTGTACATATCGATGCCAAACTGTAAGTGCACTTCACGGAGTGGAATACTGGGCGTCAAAAACCGTCTGACATTGTCGTAGTCACGAATACAAACTGCAAACCGATCAACCAATAACTATACGGCAGTAGGTACCTACAATGATTAGGCATAGGTAATTAAGTATATTTATATTTATAGGTATATCTACGGATTAAAATATGTCTAGGTAAATACTTATTACAACTTTTTAATTTAAAACAATAAAGTGTCAGGGCATTGTACTGACAGAACGCCATGAATAAGTAGATGTCAGGACAGGCAATGGCAATACGTCTCCAGGCGGTATCAGGAATGCCGTGCCCTCCACCTCCGAGAGAGGTGTCTGCCCGGCCGGGGATCGCATCTTCTCTGCAAATTAACTAGAAAAACATCATAATTCCGGATGGACAATCATATTAAATTTAAAACGGTAGTGTTCCCCTTCAGATACCTACAATACTGGGTGGCTGTCCCACAAAGCTGCCAAACGCGCACTTTAAACAATATCACGCCTTTATAAATTGCGAAGGGGATGCTACTGAGTCTTGTTTACAATACCTTAGTAAATTTACTTTTTGGCAGTTAGGCAGCATCATTCACAATTAAGGATGATAGTCGAACAAAGGGTGACATTTAGGTACCTACACTTTTTTTGTACCTAAATGAGAATAAATAACATAACATAACATCACGCTTTTTATCCCTGAAGGGGTAGGCAAAGGTGCACACAGAAGGAACACTCACTTTTCACTATTTATGTTTTGAGTCCCATGTAATAGGGGGTAAGCCTATTGCCATATACCGGGGACATTTCCAGACTCAGTGCTACTACTGAGATTTTTTTACGAAACCCAGTAATATTTTGCCTGACACAGGAATCGAACCCGAGACCCTTGCCCCGACTGCCGTCGCACTTGTGACCATTCGGCCATCAAGGCAGTCGCATGAGAAAAATGTACCTAAATGTAAAATGGCTGTGCACTTGGAATATGGAATAATTTAATTAACTAATTAATGTATAAATTGCTAAAATATACCTATTGATATAACATTATAATAACTAATTAACATATGCAAGAAAATAATGTTTAAATGACCTTTATTACCTTTGAAACAGAATACTGCTTCACAATAAGTGATATTTTCTCTTAAAAGAAGTAAAGTTGACATTTGAACCAAAGGTGTTCCGAAAATTTATAAAAAAAAAAATGGTTTTGTGCCCGATACACAAACAAAACCAATTCATCTGAATGCCTAAATGACACCTTTTTGAGAATTGAAAGATTGAGAGATTTAACTAATTAGTTATTTATATCTATAGATTTTTGACTATTTAGCGTAATGGTTGAATGCCAATAGCAGAGCGACGTGAGACCGATTCGATTCCCGGATGTCAACAAACTCTCGTATTATTCGTAGGTTACTAAGTAAACCGTACTGTAAATCATGAATGTGAAGTCTGTAAAGGCACTCAAGGCGAAGGAAAGACTCTAATGAGTGTTACGTAATAAACTCCTATCTGGCATTGTTGCATTGCTAGGCGAGATTTGCATGACTCGGAGGAAAACGATGACACACGTTCGATATTAGGTAAGTTTGTATTATCTAATTGCTTAGTCTATGAAATTAGTATGGATGTACCTACCTGCAATCGGAAATGTGGCCTCTTAATCACCGGTAACAGAGACAATAGTGCTGCTCCAGTATCATCGGCTATGTGTGCATATTCTAGAGCTAGAACTCGTAAGTTTGTCAACTCTCCAAGACTGCGGACAAAGGTGTTTCTTGTGTCCGGCCTGGGTATATACTGACCACTACCTGAAATTGATAAAATATTATAAATAGGTGTACTTTTTACAATAGAGATACCTAACAACAAACGCAGGTTGGTCCTGTACTGCTCTCATTTTTGGGATGGCTCTGTTAAATACCACCTAAGTAAAAGCGGTGAAGAACTTCGAATGGTGTGTCGAGTGGCTCCACGATGATGGTCTAGTCTAGTGGATGGACATCCACTGTTCGAGGCTTTGAAGTCGGACGGCTTCAAAGCCGACAGACGCAAATTGGCACGCGTTCCGGTTTTTTGTCGAAAGCGAGTATACAGGGGAATTGCACAATTTAATTACCCCAAGTATTGTTTCCAACAATTTGTTGAACAACGGATCATCCGTTCACCCACGAGACATCAACTGAACTTTCTGTTTATTCGGATTAATAAAAGGTTGCCTTTGTTATACCTTTAAGTTTCCCTTGCTTATCCATATAAGCGGAAATACTAAATAAACTGCCTCATTGGCCGAGTGGTCGCAAATGCGACTGCCGGGCAAGTGGTCTCGGGTTTGATTCCCGGGTCGGGCAAAGTATTACTGGGTTTTTCTCAGTGGTAGCACGGAGTCTGGAACTGTGCCCGGTATATGGCAATAGGCTCACCCCCTATTACATGGGACTCATAAAATAAATAGTGAAAAGTGGGTGTTACATTACAGTGGCATTAAGTGCCGTAATGTGCACCTCTGCCTCACCTATGTTATGTAAATAAACTGTTATTGAAAATGCCTACCGACAAATAACGTACTGAAAAACGTAACAAAAATGAAAAAAAAACAAGAGTTCTTTATGATGGTGTTGCCCGAATGTAACTGTTTTTATTTGTTTTGCCCATTATTTATGTTCTGATTGTACCTACGTATCAATTGTCTTTATTGCTCGTATCGTAAATTTTAAGTTTAATATTTCATTAATCATCATGTCTCCGATACTAATTCTTCTTAGTTATTTTGAATGTTAAATCCATGTCAATGGTTGAATTTGCCTGTCTCTGATCATAGTGATTTGTAAAACATTTAGTATATACCTAATGCATGTTGTGCTTACCTATAATAGATTGATGCACTAGTTTTTAAGATTTCGTAAATGTAACCCTATATTGTATAATCGTAATCAATTGTTGGTGAGCCAAATCAATAAAATAAAAAATAAATAAAAAAGAGTTCTTTCAATTTATTTTCTTTATCTAACATACATAGTGTGTTACTCCTTAATCCAAATCATCAAAGAAACGATCTCCGGCCACCGTAAGCGCGGGCCTGCGGCCAGAAACAGACCCGAGCGTACGGCGCGTCGCGTTCCGCGCGCGCCTCAAAGAGCCATCAGACCACCACAGATGGGGCCCAATAGGGCCGATGCCGATTCGGAGTCGCGGAGAACCTAACGGGTAACCGGGGCTCCGGCTCGACGTGCAGGAGAAGGAACGGGGTGGTTTTTAGTCAGTAAGAGTCTGACACTCCCTCCCGCCTCACCCAGACGGGAGCAGTCATTCGATGATTTTCCCCCCTTAAAAAAAAAAAATCATCAAAGAAAAATAATAAGTGTATAATTGTACTTGTTTAGTTTATGTTATTATTTGAAACAAAGCGATTCCAAATAAATTGACCGAACTATTTCAACTGTTGACGTAGTAGCTGGGTAACAGGCAGCTACGCCACGTATCACGGACTCAGTTCTAGTAGGTACAGAATATTGTGTGATTTTAAATTTTCCTATAATAATTATTTATTACTGTAAACCTAAAAGAAACGACCTAAAATATATTTATAATGGGTGTACCCATTATTCCAAATTATCCTTTAGTATTTGAACTTTGACACCATGTCATCATTACGGTGCTCGCAAGCAAGTATGCAATATGCATGTAGAGGTAGGTACAAGTCATGCTTTGTAACTTATAGTTGGAGTAACGATAAATTCTTAAAAGTTTAATATCCTGGAATAGTTTTGGTGACATGAATTTTCAAGATCAAGTATGTACTTACTATTTAGAAAATTATTTATAATAAAAATATTCGACATTTGTGACATCATTTCATGTGCTACGCCGCACAGGATTTGTACGAAATATTATTACCTCATATTTTGACTTCACGTTGACTTATAAAAAATGCAAATAAATATAGTGAAATACTTTCATATATCTTAAATTAAAGGTAGAACTGTATATTTTGGAAAACAAAAGGTTTTTCTGCGTCTGTTTGCGTCTTTAGGAGCTATATACTTAGCCTCTACTACTGCGTCGACTCAAGCGTAGCATGGTCTACGAAACGTACGTAGAATATAATTATTACTTTTTTCAGGTTAATTGTACAAAATATTGTATTGGTTTGAGATTTGGTTTCCTGTAACTGAAAGTATTCTTCAGAAACAAAATCGCGGTGTGGTCATGGTGTGGTATATCAAGGTATGGTCTCCACCATACTTTTTCAATAGTAACTCAGTAACCCGGCGGATCTCTGGGACCTTCGAGCTGATAATTGGCGAGAAACTGCCAAGAACCTCGAGAAATGGAAAAGTCTCGTATTCCGATAGGTATGATAGATTTTGGCCTCCGGGCCTCCGGGCCAAGATCTAGTTTGGTCGCTGAGCCCACGGAGTAAGTATTGAATAAGTTATATAAGTACCTAGTTAACGCCCAAATACTGAAAGTTTACTCAATATTAAATTATTCTTAAATATCGTGCCTTATCTGTTATTTTACAAACAATTTGCAGTGACAGAAATATATTTAAGCGCGACTAAAATTGAGTAACGTTTGAGCATTTCAGCGTAAGATACCTACTTTACGTTTATTTGTGTAAAAAATTTAACGCACCTAGGAAAATTTTCTCAAAATAAGTCTTATTTGAATATGTAATCAAATTGTTGAAATGAAATTGAATGTGTCGTATTAAGTAGTAAGAATTAATGAATCAGAGCATTTAAGAAACATGTTCCCGCCTGTGTCTTGCGGAGAAACATTTTTTCATTATCAGGATTACGTAATGTAGATATTGACTAAGTAACTCTACTATGAAAGAACTATTTGGCTATCCGGTTTTAAGTAGCCAATTAAATGAATATGCTTTGGAAACCATGCGACGAAGAAAATCGATTGAAGGATAACTGTGGTACGAGCATAATCTCCCAGCAACATTCACTTCATTTTGGTAGAATATGAACAGAAATTGTTAATAAGAAACCTATAGACTTTTAATTAATAAAGTTGACAAGTAAATGGGTAGATTGGGATTGTGTGATTGTAACTCCTTCTAAAAACGATATTAGACCTTGACAGATAAAGAAAGAAATCTCTATTTAATCATTTTGAAAGATGTCTATAGCTATGATATAGGATAAAAAAATTAACAAGAAAGTGATGAAAATTATTAATAAATATAGGAAAATTATTAAAATTATGAAATATCACAGCCCAAATATCTGGCGAAAGGAAATATGATCAATTGGTTCCCGTTATTTATACTGTGTCCGACTTGCAAACTATTTTGTTTTCTAATACCGTGTGCAACGTTCTTGGGCATGATGGCATTTTACATGGGCGGTTTATTTTCATATTATTCAGGCGTGGCTTCCATTAAACTCAATGCTATTATTAATAACACATCTTTTTAAATATTAGACAATTAGATGAGAGTTGGAGAACGTATACTACATATAATATCACCTAGACAACCGCTTATTTAGAGACGTCGCCACAGTAACAAAATAACATTCCCCAAACATTGAAATGGCAACTGACGAAGAAAAGTGTAAATTAGGCAAATTGCTACAAGGATTAGAAGTTCCTGAAGTAAAATTAACGGAACGGTGCTCTGATCTTGTCAAGAGCTTCCATCAAAGATTTGGGGGTGAGGTTGAGGCCGAAAGTCGCCAGGAATCTGAAGAAATCAATGACGGTTTGACTGAGAACCCATATAAAGTTGATCCACAATTACTTGAAGAGAATGAAAAAAAACTGAGGGAGTTACTGACTGAAAGTAAAAGGTTTGTCATAAATGCAAGTTACGTCCATGTTGTACATTATAACACAACTTTTCAGCCCTCGTTATTCCATGAGCAGTGTGAAGCTACTTAGAGTAGTACAACCGAAGTACACACCATCCAGTGTTCTTTTAGATTAAAATATATTAAACAAGTTAAAATTAAGTATTATTTTGTACTTTACAGAGCAAAGAAAGCCAATTCCGAGAGCGTGCTGATGACTTCTGCGGATCCTAAAAGACCGTGGCGAACAAATTCAAGCAAAGAAAAACTACTCCGCGTGGACAGCGAGTTAAAGCGACATATGGAAAAAGCCTCTCAGATGATCGTGCCTTTGCCTGAACATGAGATGCAAGACCTTGTCAAGGAGTGCAGGGAGGAAGGAAATGTGTCACTCGCTGTGGGATCTAACCGGCTTAGAGAAACTGTCGACGCTGCAAAGAAAAATCTACCACACTTTCAATACAAAAAGATTTATAATAGCACGGCTACGTCAATTATGCCTCAAGCTCATGCAGTTCAGTCTCAGCCAGCACCACCCAAGTTAACTCCTACAAATGAGTAAATTAGTTTTTAGAGAAAATGACGTCGAATATCGAGTTATTTTTTTAATATAATTATTTATCTTTTTCTTTTTGTTTTTTTTTTTTGTTAAAGTGTAGGTATTTTCTAAGCTTTAGATCTAAGGTCACACAATTTTATACTGGGGAGGGAATACGGTTAGTGATACGATATCTCGCCCCGCCATGGGACCGTACCACATAGAAGTTTTATAACAAACTGACGAATCCGAGATCTTTTTGTGGTTATCATATAAACAATTGAAATAAAATCAATTCTATAAATGTTTATATACGGATAGTCTGACTGAAAAAAATAAACGGAAGGACAGGTCAAGAGCTAGTTACTCGTACTATCCATAAAATATGATGACGTGGGAAGGAGGGCTTATAAAAAAGACTAAGCAGATTGTAGGCAAATACTCACCGGTCAAATACGAGTAGTTAATAAGGATAGGGTTTTCATTTGGCATAACGAATCTCCATAGGAACAAATATTTCAATGTATGTGCGTTGAAACAAGCCAGTTGTTGTATTAGCCGCACACCTTCGAGCCTGCTGCAGCGTAAATTTTCGAAAGAAACAAGTTGAAGGTCATCCTGGAAACTACGGACAGAACAGTATACATAAAATTACACCTGAAAGGTGTGCATTCTTATTGTAATAAGTAGTACCCAAAAGAATGTACATAATACGTAAACACATACATAACTCCTGGACTAATGCTCGACCGAAGGTTCTTCTTTGGTCGAGCATTAGGTAGTTTTGGAAATTCGCGGTTCAATCAAACCAAAAACTCAGCTTTACATATTAATAGTATAGATATAGGTTACTTATACGGCCAAAGCCTTCGGCCTGAGTCCTTAGGACTCATGGTGCGATCATCTACCGCGGCCGCCGCGGCGGCGGAATGGAGGCGGAATTTTCAAAACTTACGAGCGCAGTTTTCTCGCACGCAGCCGCCGCGGTTCCGATTATCGTCCGCAAACTGTGCGGATGATAACCGTAAGACGGTCGCGCTGTTAAAGAATCGGTCTAGTTCCAGTCCCCATTGCAATCACCCCCACCCGATCGCAGAGCACGCGGGTCCTAGCCGCGTCCTAGCGGTGGGCAAGGCAAAGGCGGCGGGCCCATAAACGCGGAGGGCGCGGCAGAAAATCGCGCTGTGAGTCCTTAGTCAAAGACAGGCTGTTGTTAACTGATCACCTGATTATGTTACACAGGAGTCTGAAAAATGTTTTCCTTCTGAAGTAATCAAGGCGCACAAGTTTGACGTAGCAACCGGATATTATAATCCGGTCCATCTGGGCTCTCTCTACTTCCATTTTCTGTAAACAGTGTAATACGGTTTGCAGTAAGGATGTACACAAACCTCATTAAAAGTCCGTCGTCAAAAAAAAGAACATCATTGTAGTTTATTTAATTGATGAACTATCGTTCTATTCACCTGTGGTGCAAAAAATATGGCAAATTTCTTCATAGAGCTTTCGTACACCATCAAGTTAATTTGTAATTCACATTTTAAGTAAGTCTAAACCAAAATCTAATGTAAATAGATATGAGGGCAATAGGTAAGATAAACCGTGTGTAATCCAAAGAATGTTGTAGGTCTTTTGCGCATTTAGTGTCGCCGGCAGTTCAGATAAACAAACCACAAGTATCCATGGATATATTATAATAAATATAACCTTTAGCGTTATTTCGATCGCGCAATGCACTTCAGCTCGATAGATATTAGATTCAACTTTTGTTGCGACATTAGCTCTCCATAAATAATTGCCTAGGGGTGTGGGCAGCCTAGGGTATGGATATTGAAAGGCCAGGATCACTTGCTCACAATGCAAACTAGCTTGAAAATATCTCTGCGCTTGTTCAATGTCCCAGAATGCTGTATCTTTACTCCTGTAACAAACGTCATCACATAGTAGATATCATTTCTGACTTCAGATAAGTAGGCTATTCTGTAACTTTCAATTTGAAGGATTGAAGTGAACTTGGCCGCGGCCCGCCAGGTAAGGATGCAACTTCGAAAGTTCGAATTGACATCTTACACCACAGCTGATGTGATTTCATATCACTACCCTGTTATTGTTAATTTTAAGATTTTTATACTGAATCCAACCAGAAATTATACACGCTAAGATGCTCTAAAAAGTCTTCAAGCCGAATCAATGATATCGCTTGATGTGATAGAGCTTTTGTCAAACTTTTTGTTGAGTAAGACTTTGAATAAATAATTTAGATTTGGATAGATTAGCGGTGCGGTGTATGGCAGTAATTTAAGTAGTCCCAAAAACCGCAACAGAGATTCTGATTGACAAGTTTTTTAATTAGAGCAGCTATAGAGTGGAATATTTTGCAAAGTATATGTTTTCTGAAGGGTATTATCTGCATGTCTTCAAGCCCTGGGTTATTAATTTACTTATGAACAGGTGTGCTCCATAGAAGGCCGCATCATCGCTGACCACCAGACGAGATGGTATATAAACGTCGAGCCATATCCAATATAAAAAGGTGAAATAACATATATAAATTATGTATGGAATATTATAGCATTTAAATTGAAGAAACTCACAAGAGAACATCATCATCGATTATCAAGCCGTCAGTTTTTTGCACATAATTCATCCAGATGAAATTGTTCAATGTCCAGTCACCGAGTGCAAGCTGGCCAGGACTTGGACGATAGTCTCGTGGATATTGCTGCCAATCCACGCTTTCCAAGTGACCAATAATTTTTATACATTTGCAATCCACTGCAAACAGATAAAGTATGTGAGGTTCCAACCAGTTGGTGTGTACGTAAATACCATATGATGAGCATATGATTGATTTTTTATGGGATAAGCCTGCCACAACCTCCCGCGGCAACTCCTGTAAGCCAGGATCTACAGTAAATACAACCATGAAAACACCGAAACACTGAAATCCCAGGGACAATAATAACTGTCTTGGTTCCCGCAACGAAGTGAATCAGAAGATATTATAAGAGGAGAAGAAAAAACGCTACTACGTATCTTTTTTCTTTCTACTTTCGAGTTATATCTTGGTGGGGATATTGAGCTTACCCTCATCTTTAGTAATTATGTCGTCTGTCCTAATATTTCTTACACCCAGATGGTACTTAGTTTCAATAGAATGTTTAGGCTTCCAATGTTTGGTTTTACTTGGTACTTTCTTCGCATGATGTCCATGGGTTTCCTTTATTTTATGCTTTGAATCTAGTGAACTTTGTGATTTCATTTTAAGATTTGATGAGTTTGATAAGGTATCCATCACTGCAGTATTATTGTCAATTAAATATGAAACATAATAGGAATGGTAAATTAAGTATATGCTATAAAAGTTTAAAATGTTTTTATAAAATGAAAATAATAAAATGTAGAAATAGAAAGTAAACACTCGTAAACAACAACATTTACTTTTTACACAATGTCATATCATGTAGTTTGGCATATATTCAGATGATTCAGATATATTTTACTGAACAAAAAAGGTTTTCAATGAATCTAAATCTAGACTCAGTAGACTTAATCCATGAAGACCATCCATAGAGACCATCTTGTTAGAATTTGTAAAGAAATATTAGCAAAGACGAATGTGAGAAATGTTATGTTTATTCATAAATCATTGAACCCTTGGACACTCAATTTTAACCCTTGTTTACCGGCTTATACCATAAAAAACTCCGAGACATAATATGTTTTCTATTGTGTCTCGTATACCGGCAGACAAGAGGTAAAGTCAGTTTATATCTAACTATTACCATTAGTGCTATCTGGTGCACGACGTATAACGACACAAAACAGTAGTTCTCAACTACATAATACTGAAGTTATACGTAGTTCCTAAACAAATACCGTTTGCATTTGCCCTAATTTCTATTGAATTGTAAACATAATTTTTTATCCACCATGTGTGCTCTTTCAGTGTATACGTAGCAACCCAACAACCTATATAAATGAATGTAATAGTACATTGTAAAATATCTTGTATCTCCCTGAAAATATGGCTGAAATCAAACAGTTACTGCAAACCCACTTACAGTGATAATTATTAGTAACTCGGAAACTTTTAGTATTGTTCAAATGTTGTAGTGTTCGTTCTGGATCTGTGAAGTAAAAGGTAGTACAACACGGTTTTAATGAGCTCTCATCCACCATCCATTGGTATTGGTTAATATCCATAATGGTAGTAGTTGTAGGAAAATAGATATACTGTATGGTCCGTCATCAAGATTAAGAGTGTGTATCAAATATTAGATCGATCTGTCGTACTAAATTTGACCAAGATTTGACCTAGAGCAAGCTTAATAGAACCGTTAAAAAAGGATCTGTCCTGTGCTCCTACTCATTCTATTGAATGTTTCCAGGGATTGTCTAGGTATTTAAAACTGATGATAGAAAAGAAAATACGAATGTCTTGGGATTTCATTATATTTGAAAAAATATACAAAGAATTAATGTTATAATTAATTTGTTCTGTACAATTTAAACATTTAATTAAGAATACTAATAAATGCGTTATACAAAAGTGATTACTAAAACATTTTCAAATACATTATTAGGTATGCGTCGAAATTATGAGAATACAACCCGTATCTAACTATTAGTTAGCTGCAAACATTTTAATAATTTAGAACTAAAGATATTTGATATTATATACAACAATAAAGAACGGTTAGTGATTACTATCGAAACTTTAAAGTCCCGTTACTGAGACTTACGGCACATCTATACATCAAACAATACATCCCGACCATGCTAACTTTAGTGAAACCTGCTGCACTGGATGCAGTGAGCCATTCTCATGGTTCTACCTAAGTTTACATATAAAAGGTAGGTTGAATACCATCATTGTGCAATTGGTCTTACTAAAGTAAGCTATTTCAAAAACAATAATGAAATAAATATTCTGATTCTGATATTATAAACGAGCCATCGATAACAACATGTCTTAATATATGAAATAAGAAAACGTCAATAATATAAATTTCAAGTTGTTGTATCTGATCGATATTTTGCTTATATTCAAACAATCTACTATCCATTTATACTAACCAGCAGTCTTCCACTTATAATACTTGTAAATACAATTTTCAAGCTTAAAATATCGATAAGATAGAACATTATGGTCATGGACGAGACAGAACATCAATGAAAAGTGAGCGATACAAATGGCTGTTTGTATGATTCTGGTGACCAATACCAGTAGTGTCACTGGGGCTCAGTGAAACTTACTCGTAACATTACATGGTGACCTGCAATACATCTATCCGGTAACACTACTGGTTACAAACTCCACAAGCATGCTATGATGACAGCGAGTGCGTTTTCATATCATTTTAAGTATGAGAATGACAATTTGCAACCCTGCATTATGACAAATATGAATGTTACGGACACCAAAACTTATTTTTGTAAGGCAGTAGCAACTGTCTTCAACCTGTCTTAAACACTTCCGAATTTGGACGTAATCTTATTGTCGATATCGGATTTTTATTTCATATTTTCAGTCTTTCTAATCCGAATGTGAATTTGGATGGAATTCCATTACAGTACATATAAAATAAAAACCAGAATAATTAAAGACATGGTCTCCTTTTCTTCACGTTACTTTCATTTCATTATAATGGTCACGTCGTAATGCTAATAATCACTTTATATTTGCAACGCTTGCATGAAGTAAGCCGGTTCTCTGCACGTATTTTGTGCCACATTACAACATAATTTTGAACTTAGCAAAGGAATGCAACATAGTACTGAAATGAAACAGCATTTATAGTATTGCAGCTGATATCAATTAAATCGAAATATCTATACCTACTGCGAGCAAAGACAGGGTATAATATGTAATGTAGCGTTTTACATCATATAAGTAAGATTCATAATCCACTGATTTTTAGATACACCCAGGAGGACTAAGGATTCCCTGCGTGAATGACGTCTATTTCACATTTAACAAAAGATGTACATTTCAACACCTTTGTTTGCAGTAGTTACGTGGGTATCAACCTCCATGAATAATTTATACGTAGATATTTATCTGGGCAGAATGTTTGGTCACATAATGTTTATTGTTAAGGCCTCATATGGCGTCAATCATATTGTAACACTGTCTCCACTCAACAGCTCCACGAACTATAATTAAAAAAATCGTAAATCGTTAAATAATTAAATCTAGTCAGGTATTCAAAGCTTAATTCAATAGCTATTTAGCTACACAAGAATGGATCTCTACAGCTGTAGTGTTGCGCTAAAGTAAACAAATTACCCAATATTTATTAGCTGTTTAGCAGACTAACTACGGTGGAAATATAATTAATGTGTTTTAATCGTAAAGTTCCGCCTATTATTAGCTATGTTTTAACTTAACTGTAGGTACGTCTATGCGATAAAATGTCTAAATTATTTGCCGCCGTTGCATAATTAAATTGTATTCAGAAAATAATCCAGTCACGATATAATCACAGCCCAAACATAATAATAACGCTTACTGATGGTACAGTGAGATCAGATACATTGGAGTTCTGTATATTTTTCATTTTGTCCCTCCCTGTGCTAGCTACGCGTAGACAGTAGTCGGGTGCATGGTGCCCAGCGACCGGGCCAGCGGTCGCTGCACCATCATCTCAAGTACACTGATGTTAACATATAAAGGTGACACTCACAAAGTGTTGGCACCTCTAAAACACTGACTACTTGCACATATACCAAATCGCATTTACATAATTATCGTAAAAGTAACAAAATCATAACTTATGGCACACACGAGGAATATTACGACTTCTGTATATTTCTTACGACTACACGCACTACTAGTTGCTCACTCACTGAAGTATGCTGAGTGGCAAACTTCATCCGAAGCTTCTTAAACTGCTTACCCAGAAAGACATCAAACTATAAACCTATTTATTACGTGAAGCTATTCGAGTATGATAATAGCAATTTAAATATATTTCTCTAGTTAGCTGAATGACTACATATATGTATGTATAATCCCATGAAATGAACTATATTCAGTTGCAGTAAAATTCTATCTATCTGCATACACAGATTGCTCGATTTCGTAATAAAAACATATACAATAATTCACTAGGAACATAATATAAAATTGACAAAACTCCAACTCATGCAATAAATAATATTTTGCAAGTTCACATACAACAATCACCTACGAGTACACAACGCGTATATATAAAACAATACGACCGCTATGTTAAATATTTCCTAATGCCTAATTACATTTTATATATATTTTATAACATTTGTTTTAATTTCCAATTTTATATTTAATTTAATTAATTTCTCGTTGTTTGTGAACTTGCAAAGAGCCAACCTACATACCTTAGTATACCTTTCAAAATAGCACCACCCCTTTCTGATTCTTACATTTTTTAATCTGCGTTCAAAATGATAACAATTGGTCATTCTTACAAAAAAGAAACACATCCTATAAAACTTTTTGCATAGTATGCAATATAGCCATTATTAATATTAAATTTTATAACCAAGTTTTAAGTTAAATACGTCACATTTACCTAACTCCAGAGAGCTTAGTTATATTAAAAAAGGTTTAAGTTATATAATGTTTAGATTCTATTCACTACGTGTATCGGCTTAGCGATTCATGGACACAGATTCGTTATAGTGATTCAATGCTAGCCTATTATTCAACGTGTACAATTAATATATTACCAATAAATATGTAGTTCCAGGACATTGCGTTTTCCATTAGATGAATTTGAAAGAAGCATGCTAGTCTTGTGTCAGCAATGACCAGGTCAGCAGCCGACAGAGTGCGCCTGCTCAGACGGTGGGCTGCGCCGGGGGAGCGTGCGGGTGAGTGGACAGATGCGTGGACTCGCTGCGGCGCGGCGGGGCCGGCGGGGGCCGTTTCTTAATGGGCTTCGGTTCCTCTCGGCGCGGCGGAGGATCGCGACCGAACACGTTCTCATAGAATGGGTCCTCAACTCCACCGCCGTAATGTTCTTGAACCCACATCGATACACTTGTCTCTTTATAGTCCTCAGATAACGGATATTCTCTAAAACCCAGAACTTCGTGTGGCGTGGTAGCTGGTTCCAGTTTGCACTTTTGTGCTACTTGCCATTTCTTCCTCATTACTCTTTGCAAATCTCGAAGGAACTCTTTTGGTGGATTGCTGTTAGAATCCGCTAATTTCTTTGGCGAGGATAATCTGGTGCTTTCATTTCGTTTTGGTGGTGGTGGTTTCCGAGGTGACAACGGAGGTTGTTCTTTTAAATTGAACGATATTTTCTTAGTCTTCTTAGTGTCAGAACAAGTAGGTAGGTCATCAGCAAAATTTACTTTTTTCATAGATCCGGTGCGTTCTTTAGAAGGCTCAGTAGTTAACTTCTTTTGAATAGAAGGACTGCCATTACTTATTTTCTTCGTCTGTAGTTCGGCTAGACAGGCACCATACGCTACATTTTGTTGGCCATAGATACTTTTGTCGGAATGAAGGGACGATGTTCGGGATGCCTCCGAGTGTACGCTGTCGAGTGATGGTTGGCGCGGGAACGTGCGGCTGTGCTCAGAAGAGCGAGCAGTGACTCGGGATTGGCCGGCTCGGGCTGCTTGCTCGACTTGTTGCGCCGTCAGCTGGTTCACGATGTCGTGGACACGACCAGCAGCAGTGTGTGCTTCCATAGTGTGTTCTGGTGGAGGAGGCGGCAAGCTGAGTTGGGAGCCAGTGAGATCTTCGATTGGTTCAAGAGGAGGCGGTGGGGGCGGCAGTGAATCCAGACTTAATGTAGAGCTGAACATTCCATCGGGAACATCATCAGTTGGAGGTGGAGGCGGAGGTAAATCCTCAACGGTGGTAACAGCGGGTGGTCTTTGCACTTTGTCGTAAATAGCTGTGTATCCGTATAAAGCAGAACCGCTGTCGGAGCTGTTGCGGTAGATGTTGTCGCGAGGAATGCTCTCGTAGTGACCGTACGTGGGAGATGGAGGCTCGTGGCGAACTGGACTGCCAGTGTTGCTCAGACGACTGTTTGTCGTGCTGCTGTATACTATTGTTTCTGTAGAGTCTGAAATAGACAATAAAATAAATAAGCATTACTTCTCAATATAGCACAACGATAACAATCGTATTCAGTTAATCTTGTAATTTTAAATGCGTTTTCAATGTTACACACAACTACTTATAATTAAAAATTTCGTGTATGTTACTAGACGCTTATACATGCTTAATTTGTATTACATTATGAACTAACCGATGGTATGATGTCTTTTTAGCGTGGAGTCATCAGTGCGCGAGGGGCGAGGTCGCCGGGTCAAGGTACCCGAGTCACCACCGCCCTCGTCTTCTGCACCGCAATCACCACCTTTTTCCACCATCTCTTTCAATTGACGCGTCATCCAAGTGAGTGGTATGTTAGGCTTCATTGAGGGCTTGCGCTTTATCGTACCTGGAATGACAATAGCTATGTAATTATCAAGATCCATGGTCTAGGTCATTATGTAAAATTAAACTGTTTCGACATGAAGAAAGTTAGTGAAGCAAAGGTGTATAATAATTATGGTTAATTACCCATAGGAAATTCGCAGTCGAAAGCACTTTCGGAAGCGGTGCCGCCGTCGGATAGACATCCGCTCGAACTGGACGACGATGCGCGGGAGTGTCTGTACAGGTTAATTATTGCAATAATTTATATAGTCAAACAAATACATTTGATAGCATAGCTTTAGTTACATAAACAATAACAAACAATATAAATGAATTTCATTCGCAGAACAGTTTGGTGTAAATCGTAATTGTAACGAAAAACGCTAGCAAATACATTTTGGCACAAACGGAATAGTTTCAATGATTACAATCGCTGAGAAAACAATTCTTGAAACTTTTGATGGTCTCGAAACTTCTATTGTGTAACAGGATCAGAAAATGAGTTCTTAGAACCATTACAAGTTTGTGTTATTTACTTATGAGGTGGGAATGAATACCAACCTGCCGCTACTGATGTCGGAGTTTGCGACACTCGCGTTGCTGGAAGTGGACTGAGCCGGACTGTTGATACCTAGCGCTGGCATACCGTTCGTCTTTGTTGGTATAGAAGTGATCTGTTAACAAGAATTTATATTAATTTTAAAATTCTCAATCATTCGTATGTACAAATAAATGTACTAGGATTGAGACTATACATACAATTTCTAGAAATGGTCACTGTATAAAACTTGTGATATTTTTATTTTAAATAACTAGTTTTAAATAATTTAAATTAAATGAAATGAAAATTGGAACGATCGCTTGGAGGGTGGTGGTTTTGGAAACAATGAAGGAATTTTTTATCATTATTGACGATTGTGGTCTTCGATCAACAATAACAACTAGATATCGGGTTGGCGCAAGAAAATCGTCTCGACAAATAAGAGCTCACTTGAGAAGTGAGCTCTTATTTTGTTTAGTATGCTCCAAACACGGCCAACGTGCTCACGTCTCACGATGCCGCAGTGCGTAATTGCAATTTGCAAAAATAATAACCGAAAAAGCAGTATTACGGCCGGAGTGTCTTACTTACGATAAGTCCATAAAGTATACGTTATATTTTAAGCTTTTAAACTAGTAAATAATATCAAATTAGACAAAATTACCAATTATAAAACAACACCACCAATGTTTGTGCGTATGTTGGCGACCCCTTGGCCAAGCATCGCCAACATGCGCACAAACATTTGTTTAAACAGAACAGTGGATGCATGGAGTCGATTTGTATTGTAAAATAAAATTGTATTGTAACCTGATTGGAATAGAGTACCTAACCTATGGAGTTTCTTGCTCGTTCTGCTCCATAGGAATCTACACCTAGGAATGAGCAAATAGTTCACTTTTAAATTTATATTATTGACGTTCAAAAGTGCCTTCCTGGTCTAACTGAAATAAATTATTTTGACTTAGACTTAAACTTTTAATAATAAAGTAAATAAACATATCATGCACAAAAACGTACCGCTAATAAAAATAAGTGATGTATACTAAGATCCCGAAATATTAATTTTCATAATTTATAAAATTATTTTAGTGTTCAACGCTACTCCATACATACCTCCTGTAGCGAAATTCGAAATTCGAAAAACAAAAACGAAACAAAACAAAACGATATAACATTGCAAGGCAATAACGGAAAAAATATCTTTATTTGTTCAAGGTTAAGGTTGTATTCAAACTAGATATTGAATAACTTATGTCTTTTAATTTCTACATGACAAGAGTAAGAAAATGCTTTTCTCGTCTTATATGACAAATGGTCGTAAGTATTAGATAATATTTTGGCGATTTATGACTTTATTATTAGGTGCCATGGTTGTTATTAGGTTGACCTTAAAACCATTTTAAAACATTTTTCTCTGTTTGTTATTTTTTTACTATTATTATTCACACGGACAGAACTGGAGCTTGATTTTGTACGTAACCCTTTATCTAGTTGCTATTGTTGATCGAAGATTGTGGTGAAGTTAATACTCACTGAACATGAGCGAGCATGAGCAAGGTGGTCGAGATCTTCTTGAGTCAGTTCTTCTACCAATGAACGATAGTTCTCCAATAATTGTCTTCCATGCTGCAAAATATTTCGGAATGAAAATATGACATACTGTAAACCTCAAGTATATAATCGGAAATCTCTTACGCGGAGTAACGAATAATTGTAATTTAATTAATGAAATTGATTGTATTTATTCGAATATTGTGAACTATAATAGTTGCGTTTTGTTCCAAATGTAAATGTATAATTCTTCGATTTGTGTCCGTACCTTTGCAATACGCATGGCAGTCACCCATCTCTCGAGAGTGCGTTGATCATCAGCACACAGAAACTTAATAAACTTAACACTCTTTGGTTGCTGCAGCCTCGGGTGTTTGATCGCGAAGCAATGGTCAGTAGGTGACTTGTATTTCTTCTTCCAGTTCAACCCTATGTAAACTTCGTTAGTGTCAAATGTAGCGAGACACACCAGCTCTTTCAGAGTTTTCACCTTATCCTTTGGTGAGTAGTACAGTCCTAGATAGTAACAAATTAAAACCAACATTAAATGCAGTTCCCCAATGAAATAATAAGCAATGAAAATTAATCGCATGGGCTAGTTCGCTTTGCTTAAAAATAAATGTCATATGAGTAGTGTGGCCACACAGCGCAGCGTGTCATGAATTTGTTACTTACCAGACGGTCTCAAGACGCAATATATTTTCTTCCATCCTTTTTTGGCATCATTCTTGAGATACAGTGGCCCTTCCATGGGAGGCACTGGATGACCTGAAACGGACGGTACTGTGCTCGTAGTCCCTCCACTTTGTCCGAAGAACTCTTCAATGATAACTTGTCTTGAGTGCTCATCTTGTTCACTGGACCAACCTGGTAATTTTTATAAGACATGTTTATGTAATGTCACAATTATGCTAACAAAGTATTTTAGTTTCGTCCTGTTCATACCTCTGTCGTCCTCGGTCAAGAGGAACTTTTCTGGCGTTTGGAACAGAGATATCTTGTCGGGTCGCTCAGCGAATAAAATCTTATTTTTCGATTCTCTTGTCCACAGCATTAAATTGTCAACTAGCATCTCGTGGTCTTCATAGACTCGTTCTGAAATAGATGAGTGATATCGTAATTTAATAAAACTGTTTTATAATTTTATTAAAAAAGGTTTTAATGTTATCGTAGCCTTACCCATATGCAGATCAGGCAAATGTTCCACTATAGCCCATTTCGGCTCCATAGTGACATGGTTCTTGTCTGCTAGTAGTCGTGTAACATATCCGCAAGTCATCTTTTCGTCAACGAGTAGACTCTTGGAAGATCCATCCATGGAGAAGGCTTTGATGAAGAGTTTCTTGATATTAGCCTCACGCATGCGTTCCAGTGCTAACTTTATTTTGTCAGCCTTAAGTTGAAAGCTTGCATCCTGGAAAGATGAGTAAACACTGATAATCTGGATCTGGATAATGTTAACATTTATATCAATAACTTATCAATACAATTAATAATTGGAAACTAACCTTCGGCGTTTGATGGAGATTCAGTTTCATTGATTTACATTTCGTGCTTGTGTTGCTGGATGCCGACGACTCACTAGACAGCATGGACACCTAAGATAACACCAACATTGTAACAATTGATACACACTTTTCAAACCATCTTTGTGAACTATATAATAAGTATAAGGTTTATATTATAGTATAATAAGTATTGAAAATTTTTCTCATATGAAAATATTGCACAATGTATATTGTATGATTGTTGATTTTCAATTTTATGTGGCCATTGACTGGAATTTTAGTTGAATTAAATGAAGATTTTGTTTTATCGCGAGAACTTATTGTTAGCTTTTGTAACAAATAAATGACTGAAAAGGAAGTTTGTTACATGTAGGTATATAAAGTATCTACATATTGAAACTTACAGTGTCGCTAAAGGCTGAGTCATTATCGGGGGAGTCGGTACGTGCAATGCTGGATGCACCATCAGCGCACTCCTTATCTGGCCTCTGAGAGCTCTCTCCAGCCCCCTCAGCTCTAGACTTCGATGTTGAAGATAAAGCTGCAACATCACCAAAAGAATGTAACAATTTGTGTTAAAGAATTTTTTGTAAAAATTCTTGTTATTTTTGTATATTTCGTATCGACGGAAAAATTGCGAAAGACTCCTATTTTAACCGACAACTAAAGATTATCTTTTTACATATATTCATGTTAATTCCGTAACTTCGACTGTTCTTTTACCATTAGTTTATAGTAACTCTGTTGTTAGGCAGTTTAAATACACTTAAAATGGAATTTTAATAAAAATCTCAAATGACAAATAATAATATGCACCTCGTATAGTTATCTAAATAGGAGACTTGCAGTTTAGCGTCAATATAAGAGGACGGATGTTAATAATATTACGAGGAGAAGAAAAATAAAATGTTTTTGAATATTTTACCTGATGACACCCTCGATATTTCTTCATCGTATTCTGAATCGAGTGCACAGAGCTCCCCCAGTATCGCGTCCAGGTCGGCATCTTGTGTCTCTTCCAGGTTAGCCATGGAGAATCTGTACGTGTCTATCCGAGGAGCCACGATCTCCAATGGCCTCAAAGCACAAGAACCATCAGTGGACGGATTCAAACCCTGCAAACAGAAATATTTTCATATCAAGTATTTGGGTGATACAGGCCCCTTATAACTAATCCCAAGACATAATGTGGTCACACCACGTAATGAATACTAATCATGGGCCCCTTATAAGTCCTGGAATTAATTATCTACGTACATGCCTATTGACATCCCAAAACATAGTTGGGAATGCATTGTCTTTAAACAATGAACTTCGTAAGTTTGTTTGTCTCTGCTATTGTAATAACACTTTATTATATTTCCAGATATTTCTTCTGTTATTTAGTAAATATGAGAATACACAAACAAATATGTACCTAAGCAGCTATTGTTGTTAGATAGACGCATGTTTTGAAGCATTTTGTCATTGGTGCACAAACATAATGGAAGAGAAATATATTTGTTTTACGTAGACCTAAACATTTCCACACCAATTAGTAATCCAGCTAATATTATTCAACTACTATCAATTCATTATAATATTTTATGTATGTATATATTAATACAGTATGTTTTGCATTGACATCTGTGTACCTACTTGTAAATAAGTCTCTACACACAATATATAGAAACCGCAAGTTTATTTAGAAACAGTGAAGTAAGAACTTATTAAAAGATTTACTTATGTCATAGAAATATCCTATAATGTAGTTAAATAAGTATTTAAAACAACTTAAGTCTCGGTTATCGACAGAGTCGGTCATTAGTCACCACAAGCCCCAACGTACCGTTGCATTCGATGTCATGTCCAAACTTTGTTCAAAGCTTTTGCTCTCTGTAGGTGAACTGTTGACACTTCTTGCTTTGGCACTTGCTAATCGAAAACTTCTGTTCAGAGTTGACAGAAAGCGTCCGCGCTGCCACTTACTCGATTCGTTTAGCTGCACATCCATCATTGCGTCTACATCGCAAAGTGCAGTGACTCACAAACTAACACTTTACACTATTAGCAAAGCGTGCCAAAAGCCGGCGCTACGCCGTGCGATAGAGACATGTTCCCTAACTATACCGTGTTAGTATACACAGGTTCGGGACGGCTCTCAATTAAAATAACACACTGCTCAACAGTTTCATAAAAGCCAAGTTAAATGTCACGAGGTATGCACTTATAATTGATAAGTATGCATGGAAACGAGTTTGTTATTACAACGGGCATAGAACACGGAGCCTGCGCGGAACTGCACCACAAGTTTACCGCACCACACTTTCGTTCGGTATTATTATATTGTTCCCAGAGAGACCTCACACATTCACTTTACCGAAAACAAAGTTTTCGCGCCCAGTATTATATACGAGTTTGGTAAAATCACAGAACAAAGAGCACTGGCGAGGAACTCACAAAACGCGTACGACATTCGCGAGGACAAACCACAACTAGGCAGTGCAGAGCACAGTGAAGTGAGTAGTATTACAAAATGAAGCATGAGCGCTCGCTGAGTCGGCCGCTCGCAGAGGCAGGCAGCAGCGCAGGGGGGAGGCAAGTAGACAAGCGGCAACCGTGTTTTGTGACTTGCGCACGTGTGCGCGGCCCGCTACGCTACGTTGTTTGATTCCAGAATGAGTGGACGAGGCCCGCGCAGTGGTGTGCGTGAGTCCCCTCGACTCGAGCCCCGAGCCCCGAAGCCGCGTACTGGCGGTGGCGGCGCGCCACACGCACGCACCCACGCCCCGCGCCTCGCGCCCTACGCAACGTGATGTCTTTCAACCACTCACGCTACTCCCCATTACTTTTTTAATTATTTCCTCTTAAAATACCATAACTATTTTGTTGTACCCCGAACTAATAGATATCGACCCTTTTGGGCTATAGTGTACACAATATTATTTTGTGATATTGATTTAAATAAGAGGAATAAGTATAAGAAAATAAAAAAAAAACTGAAGCGTAAAAAATATTTTTAGTAAAGAAATATAGAAATAAATATGCTGATACTACTTAGGTTAAATAATATGTAATTTGTATACTGTTGACATGATCACGTGGCGATGTAAGAAGAAATCGACTGAATGACCTAGTTTTATTTGTCCCACTTTTGTTTTAGTACTGACCCCACCCCTTACTTTCCGAATTAAAATATAGGAAGGTGGCTATGTTAAAAATACACGCTTTGTAGGTGTGACACGGGCGTCGAGGAAATTGCTTGACTCGTAAAATTGAATAAGTACTTACATACTTGTATTTTGTAAAGTCTTGGCATTGTGAATTTTACCCACACCGTTCAATTACTTCAGTAAATCATTATACATTTAGTATTTAGTATACACACAATTAAAATGTCAATACCAATAATTGCTTGAAGCAAATTTCAAAATAATATCTTGAGGCGGAGAAGTTGTAATCTGTTTTGTGAATTGTATGGGACTATACCAGAAGTTATATGAAAAAGATGCACAAAAAATGGGAAACAGGTGTTGCGTTGGAAACACCTGCTCGTGCGACGGCCGTACCACGACAGATGTGCAGGATCCAATTTTATCGATTTCTGAATTATTATCGCCGATAATCATCTTAACTATACTTACTAATTATTATTATTTAAACCAATACGCGCGCAATTTTTACTTCAATAACAGGGACAGACTAAACATTGTCAGCTGTTTATTATTCTATAAATACCTTTATTATTTAGTATCTACCAATTTCAAGATTAACTAGACGCTTTTGTTATTTAAAAATGTCTTCAAAATCTATTAATTAACTACATGTATTGACGCCATTCTTAAAGCATGAAGTAAATAAAATGGCACATACAAAACATAACTCCATACTACTAACAAAATAAAATAGTAACCGTACACTATGCATCAAAAGATATTTACAAAACACGCACCATTAAATTGGAGTTAAAATGTAATTACGTGCACTAAATAAGCTTCACAGTTGGACACCCCAAACGAAGCATTCTAAGGCAGCACATCTGTCGTGTTCGCGTAACATCTATTGAGCTAGAGCTGCACTCACTGTACACAATCGGTGTCGGGACAACTTGCGATATTATTATTTAACTTAGTGACAGCTTGCGCGCTTTGTCAAATATGACGCAAAAAGAAACAGTAATCATGTCACGAAAAGGTTAATAAAGAAACAGTTAAAGGTTTGTTGAAAATCAAGTTATCGCGTGTTCGAAGCCAAGATGTTAATACAACTCAAGCCGCAACAAGCTTGCCGAGGCGACGCAAAATCATGGTAAAAGCGCATATGCGCGCGCACCTGCCCCGTGTCGGCGGCGGCGCCGGCTGCAAACCACACGTGCTCTTGTGATCCAGCATCAATCATCCCTTTTAACTCAAGCAGCCTCTTCGTTTTTATTTATTTAATTAATGAAGGTAGCCATACTTATCTTTCGACAAAAATACGATTCTGAGTTTAGGCCAGATGCTTCTATTTATGGCGCGCGATTCGTTGAGTTAGGCAACGTGGTGCTTTTCAAAGAGTGAGTGGTTTTAGTGAAATTTTATCACCTGCTAGGAGTGATGTGGATACTGTTTACTATACATATTGCTAAACACTTATTTGCCATGAACGGTTGGAGAACAGATTTCGGTGACGCCATTAAATTGGTGGTCATAATTAACGTTACAGCTGCATTATAATAATATTATGTTATGTACTAATAAAGTAATGTTTACCGCAGTGAGCACGGTGAGCTCGCCCAGCCATTCGTTGAGCAAGGCCTCGGGGTCGTCAGCGGCGCCGCCCGCGCCTTGTTCCTCTACCAACGCCATCTGGAAACAATATCATTGTAACGTCATTACAATACGGTACTTGCCAACTAGTCAAATTCAATAATTTTTTCAAACTCTCAAAAAAAATGACAGCTTACTATGAATTTTGTATGAGATTGTGAATGGGGTAGACGACTAATTTTTATTTTAATGTCCGTCTGGTAGATTATTTAAAAACATTAGACACGTATTTTTTATTTTCTTACGGAAACGAATAGTTTCGAAGATATATTGATTTGAAATGTCGCGTGACGTCACTTCTCAGTACATTTTATACTAAGAAATGACGTTTTAGCCCCCACTCCTAAACTTTGATTCGTTTTATCTAAGTATTGTTTTATTATACAACAAAATAAAAAAATACGTGTCTAATATTTTTTTATTACCTAAGTTACGGACTAATTATATTTTTAATTTTCATACCCTGTCATCATCCCCATTGTGACAACACGTTTTATTAGGGTAAAGCGTAACAGCGTACTCATTTCTTGAATTTTGCTGGATAAATACTAAAATTAGGTTGGTCCTAACATCAATTAATGAAAGTGAAATTATTTTTTTAATATTTTATTGTATTTAACAGTCGAAATAATTTATTTTTGATTAAAGAAAGTACTCAATTTATAATATGTAGGTTGTTTGTAATGCTGTTTTGAGATATATGTATTGGAAGTTATAATGAGGTCGTTGATAATATAATAAATATTCTATCATCTTTTTACGAATAAACTATTAGGTATCTCTAAGTTATTTTTGCTGATGTTAAATCAATATTTCCTGTCCCCTTAGATATGATTCACAGGTCACTTGATTATTTCAAGATCAAAACGTTAAATATCATTGAATAATCGAGAGATAGATTCTGTACAAAATCGATTGGGTCCGATTAGTTTCGAAGTGTAATGAGGCCCGTATTCGCACGATGTACCTATCTACCTACGCTTTAGTGCCTCTGAATAACGATGAAGAATTTATAGCCAACTTAACGGGAATTCAGGAATAGAAACTATCTAAACTTTTTAGACGTTGTTAATTACGTTTGATGTTTCTAAATCTATTAACGTGTTTAGTTCTATTATTTATTGATATAATTATGAATTTAAGTTTACTATCTATTTACCTTTTCAGCATATTAAGTTGGTGTAATAATTAAAAACTACATTTTTCAGTATTTTATCAAAATAACTGCTTTTAAGATGTAGAAAATAATATTTTGATTAAACTGTTAACTTAAAACCTAACATATATATAAACATGTTATAGAAATTCTTTTTAATTTACATAATATAATTATACAGTAACATTATCTATAGAAACAAAATTATTTAGTTCTATCGTCGTAGTTAAAGTGATAAATTGAATTCATATTTAGTCAGCGTCTAGCATAGATTTCATTTGATCTATCATACTGAATCTACGTGTACTTACGTGAATTAGTTTTATCTGTAGCAGCGTTATGTCTTACAACGGCACGGCTGGTAAGTTGCAAATACCATAGGAAGACAAAAAAAGTAACAAAATACAAATTTATAAACTCAGACAATACACCTATTAATCTAAATATTATAAAGAGTAAAATAATTATAGCAAAATATTAAAATATAGAAAATGCGCATCACCAGCTAAAGTAAGTAAGTAAGTACATACCGATATGCGCACTGATAATTAAATAAATAAACCCTAAAGTTGTAGAATTTAACGAGTTCGTTCATTGAAATAATATTTAAACGAACTAGAGAAATTGTGTAACAAAAGTAGCTTTGTTGATTTTTATGAATGTCACTGTTAGTTTCAACGGAAAACTATCTCATTGTTTTACAATGTTTTTTACAAAACGTCTCTTTGATTCCCGACCACGTGGCGGGGTTTAGTAAAAGCCGATTGGTTAGTCAGTAAGTTGTAAACAATCGGTCGCCGTTCACATTGTACCGGGAATCCGTTCTCAACTGGGACCACTACCTGTTAACTTTATTGTGAGAAGTGCTATTAGTTAACGGATTAACTTTAACGTCAAAATTCACTCTGCCAACATTAGTTGCTAAGTACTAAGTAGTTACTAACTAATGCATAACCATTTACGCCGCATTCGCAGCGTAAGCAAAGTTGCACTGTTGCTCATCTATGTACCGAAAATGTACATTGTTAACGTTCAAACACATTGTGTTCATGTATATATATTTAGTATTTGTATGTTATATAGAATAATACACAAGCATTTAGGGCGTCTATCTACGTATGGTGGGATTATACGGTGGAATCCCAAACACACTGATCCTGACGAACCTAATTGCTAGGTCTTCCATATTCATCAATCCTCTCATGCGCGTTCGCCACTTGTGGACATTTTTACTTTGGTTCTTTTTTAACATGCCGTCAATCTGGTCGATGTTTGTTCGCTTAAAGTGGTCTCTAATAATGTTTCCATAGACACAAAGTATTCTCTGTACACTTTTTTATGTAAATGCCTATACACTGTCTTATTGCTTTGTAGATACTGCGTAGCAACCGCGTAGCATGTGCGTAGACGATGCGTAGCAGTTACGTAGACGTTGTGTAGAGCTTTCAAACATAGAAATCATTCAAGTGCAGGTGTAGCCCAGACCCCAGACGCCACGAAATTAAATTTTACGTAAGCAAATATGAGGTTGTTATCTACAAAGTGAATCAAGAGCAACATAAAGAGTATTGTAAGTGGAACGTTCGTGGGGCACGTCTGGCCCTAGTCTATTATGTTTTTGCTGTCCTAGCTGCCGTAACTGGGAAGGAAAGTTGGATTGATGTAATAATTACGTAATAATACTAACAATAACACATAAAAGAGATATTTTCGTAACTTGGGTATAATAGAGTAACTAGGTTATACCGTGATTCTTGATTAAGCACGGACTGATACGCACACACAGACTGTGCCGGGTGAAAAGTTCAGCTC